GGGAGGCCGGGGGGCGGGGATTAAACAGATAGAACGCAAATACACAGTTACAATTTGTCACGCCACAATCCTATACCACGTCTCATCAACCCGAGCTCACTACTGAGTGCCAGTTGTCTTTCAAAACCCCATATGGCCTGATTGTGGACCGGAAATTGGAAGGCACCATCTCTGTGCGCCTGGCCTACAGCGTGCCTAACGCAGCAGCAACTGCCAACATCGATGCACAACGGACACAACAGCCACAGCGTTCAAACAACCCCAACTGCGCGGCCTATCATTACTACATCTGGCCTGACTACCAGACCTCGTTCGTATGGTATGACGCAGGTTGGTCCGGTAATCCAGAAGGCGAGGATGATGTTGAGGAAAACAAGTTGAAAAGCCAGTACTCGGCCACCTGGTGCGATGCTCGTCAGGCCTGGGTGTACCGCTACACGGCGGCCTTCGAGGCCCAAGAGTGCGATCTGGGCAGCGGCAAGGAGCCGTTCACGGATGCCGGACAGGGGCGCTCCCGGCTGGTCGAGGGTATGCTGCTGGCATGCTGGTTGGCACTTTAGTCAGACGCCGACAAAATTGGCTATAATCCATGAAATATAGATCAAGTCATGATTAAAGGTTGTTTCAAGAACTGTGGATGATATTCGTACAATTTTACATAAGACACATAACCCAGATTTATGTATCTAATGTGACTAGAACCGATAATAATTATCCTTTACAATGAACATAGAACTTACTCACTCATGCTATCCGTTCCAAATTCAGCCAAAACTCGATCACCGTATGTTCACGTTCTGTTCCCCCTTCTTGTTCAGGATGTCCTCGTCCATACATACCCCTATGATCTTATACTGATCCATGGGATGGTTTCTGCAGATGAGCAAGTTCCCAGAGCCGCCGGTTCTCACATACCCATAATCCCTCATCATATCGGTAAGGTCGTGGCTGAAGTCCTCTCTTATGAGAGCTCTGCCGCTTGGCCATGGTTGCTTGGGGATTACTTGTTTGTCCTTTTTGGTGGTCCTGCAGGCGGTGGCATAAGACTTGTGAGAGTCTATGTCACCTCCAAAAGCTACCAGATTGAAGGACTTTCCGACATCACCAGCTTGAACTAATCCTAACCCGTCATTCAGGATGATCCTGTCATCTTCATCTAGGACACCGATCTTGCCGCCGAGCGAGCTGCCCTCTACCGCAGTTAGAGCTTCGAAGATCAACGAAAAGGGAGCGATTATCGTGCATCCGCAGTTTATGCGGACTTCGCACTGCAATATTGCAAGTCAGTTATTTTCTGGTTGCGCCGACTCCTGGAGTCCTTGACATTCGAAATACTGGCCTCTCAAGCCCAAAATACGCGAATAGGGGGAAGCAATGGACTACTAATTGTACTTACAGTAATCTTCTCAGTACTTCCCTTGTGTAAACGAGATCCGCAACGGAATACGTCCACCATTCTGTAGTTCATGGACCTGTTGTGGGTCCTGAGTAGTAATGGATGTGGATTCTCCCATGGAGTGCCGCTTACGTTTCTGTCAATCCAACCCGGGAGCTTTGCATTCGGGTCGCTGACGTGCCAAATCGGCTGGAGTTTGCGTAACAGCCTCCTCCGATATTCGACGAGATCACTCCCGGGATCAATGATACTTCCTAGTAGCGTGGCACATTGCACTAATGTCCGACCGGTCTCGTCTCTGGCTACCTCCCGCGGTTGATCATTGACAGGTATCGGCTCGCTGCTGAACAGCCTAGTCTTGACAGACTTCCCAGCGTTGCAACCTCTGAAGACAAACCGAAACTCTCCGTTTCCCTGAACGAGTGTAATCTTCATGTATTTCCGAGGAGCTCCAATGATACCTGTGACGGCCTGCGTCTTTGCCCAGCCCTTTTGCTTCAAGCGCCCTAGGTTGACAACCCCGGCGAAACAGTCCGTGGTCAGAAGGTTGGATTGGGTTGCAGTCACTGGTATCCAGTCCCATGATCCTCGATCTCCACTACTGATAGCTAGCCTTGTCCACGCGCGCTCCGTCTTGATGGACAGTTGCTTGAAGAAATTGAACGATAACTTGTCAATTTCGTCGCCAGACATATCGGTATTGATCTCTTCTGGCGTAAAGAGCCCGCTGAAAACACCTAGGAGCCCTCTAAAGATATCCTGGGTATCCCTGCAAGTCCGAGGTCGCATGGAAATGGCCGAGAAAACGTTGCTTACTCCACGGTGGTTATCGTGCCACCAATAAGGACCTCCGTTGATGATATCCGTCCTTGCCGAGCTGATTCCTTGAACCTGCGTCAGAAGCCAGTCGAGCGAGCGTTTGTCCTCCTCTATCACCATAAGCACTGCCTCCATTGCTGCAGTCGTCACCACTCTGGGTTGCTCTATCCAAGTCTGTAGCTTGTCCGCCTTGTCCGTGGCGTCTGTAGCCAAATCCATCCAAGTATTGAGCTCCCCTATGAAAGCTATGCTCTGCTGGCTCATTCCCCACATGGTGATATTCTTGCCGAGTAGCATTTCCTGGAATGTCCACACTCTGGAGAAATATAGATCATCGAACAGAGACCTGACGTGGCTAATGCATGTTGAATAGCAGTTGAGAAGGCCCAGTTCGATTGCAGCAGACCTCACCATTGATTTATTCAATCGAAAAGTCCAATCGCGATCCGCCCACTCGGCGAGGCGTTTTGTCATGTTTTCGGTTAGTTTTGCTTCCGTCGCGAGCGCTGCTCCGCCCATGTGAAAGAGAATATGATCGACAAACTTCAGGTCGTCGACGATCTTCTGTGGATCCCAGAGCTCGGCCATTTCGAGCAGGATGTGGCACCTGCTGGCGTTCTTGTAGTATTGGTACATCTTGGCGACCTCAACAGCCTTCTCGTCTTCATCGTCTTGATTGATACAGACGCAGTCGACCCACATGTATTGCACACCGGAGGTCTGCATGAGCCTTTTGATGTCGTCCAACTTCTTCTCAGCTACTGGGACTTGCCAGTTCACACCAGCTATCTGGTGATCGTATCTTGGGCCCTCGTCACCCCATCTGTAGGAAAGTATCTCGAAGTGATCTGCCTTATTAGGGCGAGGATCGAAGACGAAGAAGTTCCCATTGGTATGGCTAAGTAGCCTCGAAGGGAGAGCGGAGGACATGGTGAAGATTGCCGTGAGTGTATAACATACCAAGCCCGGTTTGTCAAAAAGGTGACTTTCAGTGTTTCAGTGTCAAAGTGCAAGAAAACCTAACTCTGGTTGATAAGCTCATTTGCGGTTTCTCACACACTCAAACCAAGGCACACTACATCTTGACAACTTTCAGGCGGGGTATTTATGAGACTCGACTCTACAGCATGTTTTCAGCTCGTCTTGGCACCAGCTCTGAGCAGCCATGCACGATCCTGGAAAAGCAAATTCCGTGGATGATCATAGCGCCTGATAAGATGAAAGGCGCTTTAGACGCGCAGGTGGCGGATGATTTGGCATTACGCGCAGGATTCTACTGGAGAGCAGATTTAGTTACGTCGCATGGGGGACGGAATGTATGCAACCCTGCGCGCCGCTGGGTTTGTGTGGAACTTCCCAATGGCGCCGGTACTCAGCTTGGCTTGCACTGATGCTTAGCTTGCCTTTCTTGAGGACTTAACAGGCCCAGGGGTGCCGAAAATACTCCAAACATGTATGGCTACCGCCAACAGGGGTTGAGCAGTAGCAGGGGAGGATAGCCAAGGGTCTGTTTTCAGCTCATATCGAGTGGCGGCTACAACCACCTAGCACAGCTTGCGAAAGCCACAGTTACAGCAACTGAACTTAATTGTAGTGCGCGTGTACCTAAGCGCAGATAAATACAGTCGTATTGAACGTGATAAACTGCGAACCGCGGGTGGCCCCTCAATTCTCATACTACACTAACGATTGAACTCAATCCAGCGAAACTTCTTTGCACTAAATATTAGTGCGCACAAATGGCGTGCTGACATCTTGTCTCATTACAAGATTCTAATACCCTGAAAGAGGCTCAATTTGCTGTCTTGTATCAATACCGTATAAAAACAACTGGTTGACCTGTATCCAGCGGCGAAGTATTCTTCACCGTCGAAAATTGTCACCTCGAGCACTGCATCGCCACACCTTACTCCTGCTAGCAACCTATAAAGCCAATTGGCTTCGTATCCCAGTTCGGCCAGGTCGTCGCTAGCTGTACACCATGCCCTTAATCAGAACAATCGACGTGGCCGAGAACTCGACCTGCCAGTCCCTTTCCATAGGTATGCCTTGAAAGAGAATTGGGCATGAATCGATCCAAATAGCTCTTCATAGACACTCACACAGTCGAATCTAGCATTATTAGCTTTCAACATGTCAGGAATCCCGCATCCACAACTGGGACAAAATCCAGTTAGCTACGTTTTGAAAGAAATACACGTGAAAACCATACAAGTGCGTTAAGTCACCACGACGCTACATTGAGTTCGTGCCGCAGTCCGTATTGGACATAGGTAATGGTGGATGAAAAGGAGGAGTTCATCATTCCAAGTTACGTTTAAACGGCGCCTGTGATACAGACGCTGGCTCGTGTGTAAGTACCCCGGCAGCCAAGGCGCTAATGCACTTTGCAAGTTACCCCACACCCTGCATGACGCCTTGTGTCATGATTGGCTGTGGCGGGAGCGTCTGATCAGGGGACCCCGCCTACTTATCTGTGTCCGAAGACAATAGGAGAACAACCTTTTTTTTTTTTTTTTTTCATCTAGAGAGTTCGATGCCAAGAAACAGTTAGTCGGTTACAAATGAACTTATTTTGATGAGCTACTTACACCCAAGGGAGCGTATCCACGTTATGCCGCAATAACCTCTGGTTTCAAGCACGTCAAATCTCTATACTCCGTTACAGTCCTGCCTTGCTGTTTCCACATGAATCAATGAATGCGTCTATATCTCCCAAAGTCTTCAGTGTCATAAGAAAATTATTGGTAACTATGTCAAATGACTGTCTAGGAGTAAGTTCACTAAACGGAAAACAGTATGCGTTAACCTGAACAACTTGACTTCTGTTTCACCATCATTTCCAGCCAAGTATAACGCCTCAACGTCATCCGCATAACTCAACTGCCCCGAGAAGTGTCATTAGAGCCTAAAACAAATACTCTCAAGTTCTTCACTCTCTACCAGTGGGCAACGGAGTTGTAGCCCTTGCTGGGGAAAGCCTCAGCGAGCTCGGCGCGGGCGTAGACGCCGCCCTGTGGAACAATCTGTTTGGTCTTGAGGTCGAAACAGTTCTCCGTGACGCTCTGGTCACATAGGACATAGATCTGTTTGTGCTCCATGTCGCAGTACACATTCTGGGCGGTTGAGGCAATGTCCCAGCCGTACGAATTCTCGTGGCTGCAGACCTCGTGGATATCGTGGTTCGGGTCACTGGTGACGATGAGGTGGGACGGATCATGGTTAGCACCACGGGTATGGACGCTGCGGGCCGACGATGACCGCGCCTTGGCCTTGGTCTTCTCGCCCTGGTGCAGGTACACGGCCTTGTTATATTGGTCGGGTTTGTCAATGACGCGCGAGAGGTCCTTGTCTGCGCCCTGGCCCGCGGCCGCTGAGTCCTCATTATACTCCAGTCTGGGCTTGAAAAAGGGGATGACGCCGTCCGGGAGCAGGTTTCCCCAGAAGGAAAAGCGCGGCGTGCTCTTGCACAGGGTGTCCCGGTTGTTCTGGTATTGGGACATCTTGTCCGTCGAGGGGGCCATATCGTTCAGGTGGAAGCTCATCGCGCGGGCGTTGATCTTGTTGGTGTGATCAGCATCCAACCAGACACACTTTGGAGTCTGGAAGTTAGATCCAATTGTGTTGTTACCGATGAACCAGGACTGGCCGCACGTATAGCCAGTATCGCCGTAAAAAGTGCCCGAAATCTTCCGGTTGGCTACGGTAATGGCAGAGATGCAGATCGCATCGTTTTCGAGATTGCTCAGCATGATGTAGTAGGGATCGGCTTGTTTGTTCCCGTTTTGGTTATGTTCTACCACAAACAAACCGTCCTGACTGTCGTCGACCTTATCCGCGCTTCCAGGGTGGTACTGGCCAATTCGATTGCCATCATCGTCCCAAAGTGCAATGTGAGGAACATTACCTCCGGAAGAGCCGCCATTTCCGACGATGATTTGCACGGAGGTGGCCTCTTTTGGAGTTTCCTTGGCATATTTGGCTTGGAGTCCGAGAGGGACAAAAAGCCCAGCAGCGTTGATGATGAAACCAAGCGCAGTAGCCATCGCTAAATTGATTGGATCTAGAAGAGAACTAATTGATGGAAAGACGTCGAATAATGGTACCAGAGAAGAAGCAATAAACTGTAGTGCTAGAGTGTATTGTTGGTAGTGGGTGTGGTTGTGATGGATATGATGAAGGATGGTGATGATGCTATCGTGTAAATATGAGCGACGAGCCGGCTCTTCTTATACACGCATTACAACAGTCATTGTTGTAAGGGGCACAATCAAAACACATTGCTACAGTATGGAGCTGTAGGACTGAGGCCATCGTGGAGGCGTAACTGAAGTTGGTTTGTGGAAGGATTCAATTGCCCTAGGGGCCAAGTTGAGGATCTTTTGGGATTTCCCGTGCGTCTGTGGGCTTACTTTCGGGATTCAGCATTGTCACAGGAAGGATTCTGGGTGCTGGCGGCGCTGAAATGATGTGACTACCACATCATGCTGCTGGGTTGCCACGGCCTCTCTGCACTAGTCCTTCAGCAGGTAAATATTATAACCTCCAACAAGGCAGGCTATTTTTATTCGTGTCACATTGGATCCATTTTACTCAGGCTCACAACCGGCATCCTATTTACCAACTGTGCCACTTTGTTCGGTGTCAGTCTTGGACTGCACACCGTGCGCTTGCTCAGAACCATGCAAAGACTTCCTCTCGACAGTCGTGCCCATTTCCGCATAGAATATTATGAAATGTCATGTCCGGAGAGAAACATGAGCCTGGTAATGATGTCATTGAACCAATGTGGAAAGCATCTTGCTTCTGACCCTTAGCTGCGAATCTGTTGTCTACCTAATTTAGAATGTACGCAAATTTACTAAATGAAGAAACAACGAGTCTGTATCCCGAATTGTACACTAGATCTTACCACTCAGTCATACTCTTAAGCTCTACACACCTACAAACTCAGATATAATATATCTCCTCTTCCTCCTTAAGCGATTTATAGTCACGTATCAATAACCTCTTTCCATTCCAATCTATCCAAACCAGCGCTGCCATGACGATGTCCAACAGAGCCAAGACCAGGCCGATCCATAGCGCGGCTGTTTCATTGGTGCACTGCTCAGACAGGACATCTTGGCCGCCCTCTAAAGCATCATATGCGCTTAGCTGGCATGACCAAGACCCCAGGTCAAACATTGCACCATCATACCGGTTGCTCGGACCATATGTCTGGTGGTCAAGGACCGGGCTCCGGTAGCCGGGCTTGAATTGGCCTGAATTGAATCGACGGACGGCACAGGATATGAACACGGCTAAGGAAAGGACCCCGTTGACGGCCAGTACAAGAAAAATTCCGTAGCGCTGCCAATCCGCGAGCTATTGCGGCAAGAACGGGGCACGTCAGCCATCGCGTGTTGCAAAAATGGGCAGGGAAAGCGTGGGGTCACTCACCAGGAGCGATTTGGCCCTGCGGCAGACGGAAACGCACAGGAGCCCAATGCTCAAGGCCGATGCCAAGCTGAGACCGTCTCCAGCGAGTGTGAGTTGGATGGGACCTAGGTCTAGATGCTGTGGATATAGGGCGATGCTGAGCCCACCATTTAGAGCATCGGGGCGAAGGAAAACGACGGTGGTTCTAAAGCCTCTATCGGTGGCTTTGATGTAAGAGGTTGAGGCGGTAGTTTTGAAAGACAGAGCGAGGATGGAGAATAAGGCAGTCAACGGTACCACTGTTGAAAGTGCCAGAAAGGAGAGATCGCGATAGCTCTGCCTTGCGGCAACTTGGTTCGAAGTGGTAGATTGAGGAGACATTTGGATGGAAATTTTCTTCTAACGAGGCGATTTGGCGCTGAGAATATGAGAAAGATAGACTTTGGAAAACTCCAAGGGATGGAAGACGGAAGCTCTGATGGGAGGAAGGAAAAGACTGCCTGTACTTGGCAGGTCCAACATCAACTTCTGGCCCCCTCAAGGGGTGACCGGGGCCAGAAGTTGATGTTGGACCTGGCGAGTCGGCTAATTGAGGGCTGCTGTACCTGGTCAGGCGGCGCGGTCGCGGCTGTGCAAGCATACCAACAATCATTTGTTAGCAAGATGCAAGGCTGCTTGCAGGGATTACATGCTGGCAGTCGCGACCATGTTAAATGCGACGAGATAGCTACCCATAGCGCTGAGCCTTGCGGTTCTCTTCTCATGATCATTCTATACCGCATATGCTCGTTATGGCGTGAAATATCGGCATATTCACTTTTTCATGTTGAGAGACTTTAATGAAGTGCATTGATCTTGCTCTACAAAACTAGCATCCAGAACTGTGGACGAACACTGGCCACATGTGATTCTTTGTTGACATATTGAACTCTAGATCACGATTTACTTTTAGTATTTACTGACCCATTCCCATGTACGTTCGGAGACGCGCACATCTCTGATGGTTGGGGGCTCATTGCTGTCGTCATTGTAGGTATCTTCCCCGGAATGCCGTGCCCCGAGTGTTATCAAGTGTTCGCCAATCCACCGGCCGAAGCTGGCTTGCTGAGCTAAATACCATAATGAACCGTCCGGTCCTGTATAAAAGTCGTCATTGGGATCGACGCCAGCTTCTACTAATAAGGTCACCCCCGTCAGGTTCTTGACCAGCAGTGCCCTCACCATTGCTAGCAGACCTAACTCCCCTGCATCGCGAAAAGGCAGGTCCGGGAACCGGTGCAGCAAGTACTTGATCAATAGTGGTTGGCTTCCTGCAGCAGCGCTCCGCAAAGCACTACTGGGGTCTGCGCCGTGGTCGAGGAGCAGCTCGACTACTTCTTCGTGTCCGGCCAGTGCAGCTCCCTCTACTGGCAGGCGGTTTGGATTGTTATTTATTTTGGCCCCTCTTTCTATAAGGAAATGCACCATACTGATGTTTCCCAACGACGATGCTATATAGAGCGCACTGTGGTCTGGGTAGAGACATGGAACCCTAAAGGCATTGATATCAGCACCGTTGTCGAGAAGCTTTTGCACCACATGTTTGCGGCCGTAGCGAACGGCGGCCCACATCATCTCATTTTCGAGATCGGGGAAATCTGCTAGCTTCCTTCCTATCGTCTGGAGGAGGGCGTCTATAAGGTCAAGCCTTCCAGCCTTTGCGCCTGCCAGGATTGCACGCAGATATTCAGTGTCGGTGATGGGCAACCGATGCTCTGAGTGCAATAGCAGGTGCACAATATCTGTGTGGCCGCCAAAAACCGCAGTACGAAGTGCGCTTGGGGGTTCTACACGCAAGGACATTGGTCGAATGTTCTCGTTCTGCGCTTGCCACTCAGGCAGGCTTACGAGGCGATATTGCTGGTCGGACCAGGAGCTAAAGACCGAGTCTAGGCGGGCACCACAGGTCAAAAGATACCGAACTACGTCGAGATGCCCGTAAGTGGCGGCGAGGGTCAAAAGGCCGTGGAAGTACGGTGTGGTGCCGTTCACATCTGTGTCTTGAAGCAACAATGCAATGATAGGTAGGTTGCCGAGGATGACAGCCCCACTGAGTACATTCTGTGCTTCTATTTTGTGGTCGACGGGATGGTCCCGTACGAGCAGAACCGCCCCCGCGATGGTCTCGTGGCGGGATCTCCGCAGCTGCTCGCTGTCGGTTTCCATGAGGTCGTCCAATGCCTGATTGACGCCAGCGACAACCGATAGGTAGCGTTCACTGCTTGTGATGGCAAATTGTGATTTGACCGCCACGACCTTTCCCCGAAGTGTGGGAGGCATGCGTGAAGCGAGTTTGGGTGTAGCGGGGTCGTCTATGTCGACTGTTTGACTGACGCATATGGTTTGCAGAATTGCGGTGTCGAATTTTCGATTCACGGTGCGCAGTCGCACCAGTTTCCGAATGCCAACCGCAATCACAAGCTGCTCCATGATGAGGTTCAAGACCTCACTCGGGAATACTCGCAGGCCATCCATCCTGTCGAATGTGGAGATGTTCGCGTGATCCTTAGGGCCAGATAGATGCATCATAGACAGGATTCAGGAAAGCAGGAAAAAGGAGTTCGGTAGACTGTACGTACTGGCGGATGTGAACCGATATCTGAGATCTAAAAGTGTACACAAGTTTCGGGATGGACCCCCCTGGCTGGCGGAGTGGACCCGGGCCGGTGGAGTGGGCCCTGGTCGATATGATCCGATGCTTAGCTCCCGCGCGGCGCTTCCATGCACGGTACTTCTTGAACTGAACGTACATAACCAAGCCCCTGGCCAGCTGTAAACAAGCATCAATCGACATGGGTATAGGGGCTCGCCAGGTCTAAAACGACTTCTGGCCTGGCAACTCAGGTGAACTCTAATGTAGTCACTAATGTAGTGCAATTTTTTTCCGGTTGAAGATCCTTTTGTTGGTGTAAGGACCAGCCCCCAAAAGGGACGACGGGGGCCAGAAGCCATGCCAGTAGTTGATTGTTGACGTAAAATAAACTTCTTCAATGCCGGGATCTGAGGCTGAGGACAACCACCCAGCCACCGCCTTCGGCTTGCTGCATTGGGCCCAATCCCAAATTCTACCCTGAAGCAAGAAACAACACTATAGTGACGGCTGAGTGCTTCACTTCAGGAATATATCTGAAGATCCTGTAGGATCTGTTATCTTTCAAGTCAACAGCCACTTCCTCATCCCGTCAGGATGGCAGCATAAGGACTGTAACAAGCACCGTGCCAGGTTCATGGCCAGCCACTGGCATGGCTTCATTGTGTGATCTGATTACCTAGCCTAAATTTCCAATAATACATGACATCTAAGTATGAGCACCAACGAGGCTCAAGACGATGCTCAACCGCAGTAGCAATGAGCAATGCATAAAGACAGGTCGTTGTCGTCATAAGACTGCCGGTCTACGTGGACATTACACACATCACCTTTCTTTCACTACTCACCACTTTGCCTACATCAACCGTCCTTGGTGTGACCTCCAACACAAGACCTGATACAACGAGCCTATACACCAAAATGAAGCTCCATTCGCTGAGAACTGCATTCTTTCTCACCGCCTCCATAGGCGGTATATCTCGCCTGGCCTTGGCTGCGCCGGTGGTTTCGATATCGCAGGTCGCGAGATCAGGAGACATTGCGGGCAACAACAGCCTCGCGACCGTCGATATTGACCTGGAAGGCGAGACTGGGATCACTACTCGTAATGAGGATGATCTTGGACTTGGAGAAACTTACCATGGCGTGGGCATCGAGACGCGGATGACGATTCCGAGACCTCCAACACCACCCAAGCTGCCAGTCCCGCCGCCTCCTCCTGTGCCGAGACCCCTCCCACCCGTTGTTATACCCAAACCGAAGCCTGCTGATCCCGTCCCAGTCCCAGGATCGCCGCGTCCGCCTCCACCACCACCGAAGGCCGACTGGAAACCCATACCCGCCACCGAGAACCCGGGACAGGGCTACGGCATGGGAAACGATCCTAAACAAATGGATGAATATGCCAAGGCTGGAAAGACACAAGTAGACAGCTACGAAGCTACTGTACACAGCAACAAGCCGGATGTCCTCACGGTTGGGTCAAAGGCAGAACTTCAAGGAAAGGGGCCGAATGAGGCTTTTCTGGACATCCGCAAGAACCCAGCTTACAAGATTGAGGAAGTTAAGGTTCTTACCAGCGAGCTCAAGGAGCTGAAGAACTTCAAGTCAAGCGAGCTGGGCTTCGAGATCAAGCAAGGGTTCGTCACGCAGGTGTCTGTGAGGAATGGCAAGGATCCCGAGCCGATCAACCAGGGTATCTACGATCCCAACGGCAACTACATCATGTACCAGGTCGCGTTCAAGGACGGCAACAACGTGGCAGACAAGATTCCCCTTAACGAGATCGGCATGCAGAACTTCCAGAAGGTGGCCGGAGACAACACCAAGAACTTCAAGGCTGCCTTCCCCATGGAATTACAGAACAAGGAATTCTGGGGTATCACGCGCCAGAACTACAACGACATGAAGCAGCCCTTCAGCGAGGTTATGACCTTCAACCGTGGCACCCCCCAGTTCGAACGCTACATGGGCAGCCCCAATATCAACAGCAAGTTCTTCTCCTACGGTAACCACCACAATGCAATTGGCAACAAGATTGTCGACAAGATTGTTATCATCCCTAAGCAGGCTGAGAACTCGGGCGGCAAGTTCACTGCCGCTCTCATCTTCAAGAATGCCTAGATATACAGGTGGATATATCCCATTTATAGTCTTCTTTACATTAAAGAGCTACGAGATATTAAGGATTATGGTTGGGCTCAGGTATTTTGTGTTATATGGTGTATTTGTTCTTCTTGGTCTACAACCTAATCTTCTCTGCATATTATGGCATTCAGCATCAGCATACTTCTCATTCCTTTTGCTCCATTTTCCCCTTGAAGCTCTCACTTTGTGGGTGCGCTCACTACATGTAACTCCAATACACACGCCCACCATGACGAACGACTAGCTGCACGTCAGCGTCTTCCATCTCATCTACCAGCCTAATGTTTTGGGCAGGATCCACACCTGTAATTCGGTTGACATGCATAAAACTTGCCCTACTCACTTAGAAACATCAGCGACTTTGATCCATAGAGATCCCCTCCCTAAGAAGGAGAGCATATGAACTGATAGCAAGAAGGGCGTACTGTTCAACGGGGACGCTGACTGAACTCAATCTGTACTGACCTGGGTAATATTCGATACGCAATTCATACTTGAAAGGCACCTCTATCAAGGCAGATCAGTCAGAGTAATTAGAGCATTGAATAATAAGTCTGCATTCATGAGAACAGAGAGTTACTATAGATGCCCTGGGTGCAACCAATAGTATGTGTTGTCCCAGCATCGTGGCGGTTCATGGTGGGCCTCCTGCATCTCGGTTCACTGCAATTTAAACTCGCAAGAGAGAGGTAAACAACCCTGTAGTTTGCAGAGACTTCTTCCACCAATACCGTCTTCTATTAGCATGGTGGCACCCACCGTTCTCTAGCACTGGCTGCAACGAATGCATAATTGATTCTTCAACAAGTCCATACGTTCTCACTTGCCTCATAATATCCTTGGCATTCCCGGCGTGACCAATCAATCACTCTCTTCTAGAAATAGGCCACGACACCATGTGCACTACCATGTGCAACGCAAATTTAGCCCTCACTGCAAAGACGGAGTGGCTAAACCAAGAAAGAACCCCTGCATTCACTTTTGTACAACTCACTTCGACTTGCCATCCAGCGGTACCAAGCTGAATAAATTTCAACGAGAACACAGAGCCTCACAAGTATGACGTGGAATTCTCTTGAACTCGCTGCCACCCACGCTCCCCTCCTCTTCTTTATAACTTCCACTGCAGTTTTAGCCCTCACACCAGTAATGATTTTTATTGATCTGGCGCCGCAGGTAGTAGTCTGCATATGGAACTGGGCACGACTGGTTCGCCAGACATCAGTCTTTTGAGCAAGATTTCGGTGAACGTCGAATCCCTGCTCTTCGCCTCGGGCGTCCTTGGCGACCCGGCTCGACCAATGAAAGGAGCACTCAACTGTGCATTCATGTAAGAAGAGCATGCAAGCCATTCGATGACATCTTCACTGCAAATTTAACCCCCGCAAGAGGCATGAGCCCGGAAGTCAGAGCCTGGGACACAACAATCGCTCATGGAACTTCCTGTTCGGAGTTGTATATACCATTAATCATAAAGCTCGACGAGGACTGTGTATATGGTAAACATAAGTACATATCATTTTTATTATTTTTTAATTTGAATCTGATGGACCATCGCACGCGGGGTCCCTATTTTCACAGTATCTCAACTGCGATCTCGTGGAAAAAGTAGTGCTGTAGTTTTGCAGACCTGACTCGCTCAAGACGGATGGTAATTTGGAAAAAGAGGCATGGTCTCTTATTTTAATTCGTCCACCCAGGGTATTTATTTTCATGCCAAACGCCTGTACACTATGCAATAGATAAATAACATTTTTCGAATATGTCCCCTCGCCGCGCACGTCTAATTACCATGCATCGAAGTTCCCAAACCCACCCGACTTGGCCTTTTTCCGGACCGGCTCCTCCCACGTGTCTGGCACGTCCTCCTCGAGGATCTCGTCTTCGGCGGCCTGGGCGCCCTTCTGCTTCTTGAGGGCGTCCTGCAGGTACTTGCCGACGCCGGGCCCGGCGCCGTCGCGGTCGACGGTGCCGTCCTGGCGGATGCGCTTGCCGGTCCAGGTGGTGCGGTCGTCCTCGGTGCCGCCGCGGCGCTGGATCTCGGCGTTGCGCTCGGCCACCCGCTCCGTCTCGCGGCGGCTCTTCTGGAACTCCTCGAAGGGGTCCAGGTAGACGACGACGTCCTTGATGAAGATCTTGTTGAGCGGGCGGTCCGAGCCGTCGGTCGGGACGTCCTCCAGCTTGGACAGGACGTCCATGCCGCCCACGACCTTGCCGAAGATGGTGTGTTTCCGGTCCAGGTGCTTGACGGGCCTGTAGGTGATGAAGAACTGTGACGAGTTTGTGTTCTTGCCCTTGTTGGCCATGCTCAGCACGCCCCTGGCATCGTGCGTGTTGGGGCCCTCGAACTCATCGGCGAAGTTCTTGCCCCATATGCTCTCGCCTCCCCTACCGGTGCCGCTCGGGTCGCCGCCCTGGAGCATAAAGTTCCGGATGTTGCGGTGGAAGGACACGCCCTTGTAATAACCTTTCTGGGCGAGACGTACGAAGTTCCAGACGGCCTTGGGCGCGAACTCGGGTTGTAACTCGATGTTCAAGTCGCCGAGATTGGTCTCGATTCGCGCGTAGCCCTTCTGCTTTATGCGCTTGGGCTTGAGCATGTACTCCTCGTCGGACAGCAGAGCGCGCTCGCTGCTGGTCTCGGGGGTTAGACCCGTGGATGTGAAACTGGCAGCCGCCCTGCCGGTGGTGTATACAGCAGCATTGTCTGCGCGCTTCTTGTCCTGGATCATGGAGGTGCGTGGCCCGTTGTTTGTGGATGTCTTGGCCAGGGCCTTGGAGCGATTGACGTCGCCGCCGGCCTCGCGCTCGCGCCTCGCCTTCTCGACGGCCTCTTTTGCGCGCAGCACCTTGTCGCCCACTCTTCCCAGAGCGCTGATGTTGACATTGCCCTCTTTCCTTTCCTCCTCCTGCTGCTTCGTGAGGAGCGCCTCCTCGCCGTCCTTTAGGTACTTGAACTGGCTGAGGTCCCGGCTGGGTGCATTTTGAGGGTCCTGCAGCGTGATAATATCGGAGCGGCCAAACTCGGCGTCGTCGAGCAGATCCCTCCACATCTTGGCCTTGATGTTCATGCGCTCGACCGTGTCCCAGGCAAAGACGTTTGCGTAGTTGCCGTGGCGGATGGCGACGATATGGGTGTTGTCGGTGAAGACCTTGAAGGTGACGGGGTCAATGAGGTCGCCCTTCCCGCCATTGCCCAGGCCGTCGGCTCCCCTCGAGTCGACATCGCCGTTGCGCGCAAAGTTGAGCTTGATGAGGTCCTTCAGCTGCAGGGGCTCGCCGTCGACGGGGTTCGTGTCGTGCGAGTCGAGCCACTTGGAGATGACCTCGAGGTCGAATATGAGGCCGTCCTTGGTGCAGACGGGGTTCTGGAAGGGCTGCAGAGAGGCGGCGCAGAAGTTGAAGGGCAGGCGCTTGAAAGAGCCGTTCGAGGCCTGGGCGCGGGCGCCCGTCGAGGCGGAGAAGGCGTCGGCGGAGGACCACTCGGAGTGGGTGATGTACAGCTTGTCCGTCCCTTTTCCCATGTTTGAGGTTTGGCTGGGTCGCCTCCGCCGGACGAGCGGGATTATAATTTGGAGGGGAGGGAATAGTAAAGAAGAAGAGGACCGCGATGAAGAACAGCGACCAAGCGACGATGAGGCTGATGCGCGCGGGTCCTGGTCTTTCGTGCTGGGTGGAATGCGAGACCCGGGCAATGGAACGAAAGTGGCGTCGAGCTTCCCGCGCGGAAAATCGACCTTATCTTATCGGCGATTTTACTGCGCAGGTGGTTACTTACTGTATGTATCCCCAAGCTCCCAGACTCCCAAGCTCCCCAGGCCCAGGCAAACCTAAGCCAGGGGATGCCCAGACTTCCGCTCTGCTCCCCCAAGTCTCAGAGTCGCCGCGTGGCTTAGCGCGTGTTTTAGCGCGGGCAGAGCTCCCAGCTTGCGCAATGGCCCGCTCCCCAGCTGCACCAGCACCTACCTGGCCTGCCTGGGTACCTAGGTAGTTACTTAAGCAGTTAGTTAACTTGGCAGCCTCCAGGGCTGCCAGTTGGGGGCCAGTAAGCTAGAGCCCCGTAAGGGTTAGCCTGACAAGGCCAGGGGGTCGGTCGGCTGGCCTGCCGCTGCCGCCGCCGCCGCCGCTGCAACATGTTTCCAAACTGCAGGCCGAGCCACGACGTCTTATCTGGTCAGTTTTACCATGACAAAGCTGCTCAGTCGAGTCGCAACAGCTTCCTCTCTACCCGGCGCGCGCGACAGCAGACTCCCTTGAGAATCCGGGAGCATCAAATCTCGTTATACCGAAATTCCCGCCGGCGACCGACACAGCTCCTGCGACGCCGACGGCCAGGGCCCTGCTGTGGACACATCTACTCGCCGAGGCTGCCTTGGGCCGCGCGACATCGCCAACGAGGCCAGCAGAACATTAGACACCGCACAGCATCGCCATGAAGTCCTCCATATCCTCCCTCCTCCTGCTGGGCCTGTCCGCCTGGACCGCCCAGGCACTCGAGGTTCAAGTCGTACGTCACGTCCCCCTTGCGCTACAGCTGCAGGCCCCAGAAGCTCACATTTTCCCGTCCAGGACCAAACCGACGAGAACAGGCAAAAATGCGCCGGTACAAGAAGCTCCCGAACCCCCGCTGCACCGATGAGCCAAACCACTCACATGATCCCATGCAGGAATGTATAGCAGGAAGGACTGGGGCGGCCCCATCGACCCCTTCATCCTGTCCGTCTTCCCAGACCAGACCGTCGAGGGCCACGACGATCCCATTGTGTCGCTGGTCATCTTTGAGTGGAAGGACGAGGACCTCATCGGCGTGACCGACCCCGAAGGCAAGGCCTACGAGCGCGAGTTCATCTGCAACGAGCCTGCTGTCGCCAAGGGCTACTGCAACGAGACCAAGCTGGGCGAGTTCATCCTCTCCCCGAACGCCACCGAGAAGAGCAAGTCCTTGATCCTCACCCAGGCCATACACCTCAAGGACAACAAGCCCATCAAGTACGAGATCAAGGACACGGGATACTACTGCGTCGGCGCCCTCCCCTACGGCGACTTCAACTTTCAAGCCATTGTCGAGTTCAGGGAGGCCTACGGCGAGTTGCCAGCAACTCAGATCCCGAAGCTGCCCTTCTACGGAGGAATCACCATCTTATATGCCGTTGTCTCTGTGTAAGATTTGGTCCTGTGCTATGCTCTCCTACGGACACTAACAAGTGACAGGTTCTGGGGCTTCCTCTACTACCAGCACAGATCCGATATTCGTAGGTAGCCAATTTCCATATTGGGTGCAGCATAACTAACAGTGATCTAGTCCCTGTGCAGAACTATATCACAGCTATCTTGCTGTTCTTGGTCGTTGAGATGTTGATGACCTGGGGCTTCTACGGTAGGTCGCTGTCTAATCCTGTTTCGAGTGTATGCTAACAACTACGCAAGACTACCTGAACCGGAACGGTTCCAACTTGGGCGCTCGTGTTATGCTGGTCCTGGTTGCCATTCTCAACGCCTTCCGCAACTCCTTTTCCTTCTTCCTGCTACTGATTGTATGCATGGGTTACGGCGTTGTGAAGCCGTCTCTGGGCAAGACCATGATGTACGTCAGATACCTGGCCATCGCGCATTTCGTGTTCGGCCTCGTCTATGCGATCACGAGTCTGCTCATCTCGCCAGATACTGCCGGTAAGTGAACCTCGCCTTTCTCCGCTGTTGTCGTTTGTTGGAGTGGTTACTAATGCCAACCAGGGCCATTCGTCCTATTGATTGTGCTACCGCTGGCTGGTACTCTGACTGCCTTCTATGTGTGGACTCTCAACTCCCTCAACTTCACCCTCAAGGATCTCCGGGAGCGCAAGCAGACTGTCAAGGAGACCATGTACAAGAAGCTCTGGTGGTGCATCCTGGTGTCCATCCTTGTCATCTTCGGCTTCTTCTTCTTCAACTCTTTCTCGTTCGCCTCGACCAGCGACCCGGATTTTGTCCCCTTCCACTGGAAGTCGCGCTGGTTCGTGCTCGACGGCTGGCTGAATCTGGTTTACTTTGCCGATGTGGCCTGGGTCGCGTACGTCTGGAGACCAACCGCCAACAACAGGCGCTTCGCCATGAGTGACGAGATCGCCCAGGACGAGGACGGCGGCTTCGAGTTTGCCGACGTCGGCAACCCCATGGAGTCGGACGACGAGGACGAGGAAGCCAACATCGGAAAGCCGACCTCGGCATCGAATATACACGGGCGCTCGGGGTCCCTCTACTCCCAGCCGTCCGGCGCCGCGCCGAGTCAGCCGAGAGGTGGCGCTGCCGCCGCGCAAAAGTCCGTGAGCCCGAGAGACTCGTTCGAGGACGGCGAGACCATCTTTGCCGTGGGCGAGGACGGCGACAAGTTTAGCGACGACGAGGACGACGACGAGGAGAGGAAGCTGGTGGGCTCGAAGAAATAGTGGCTCTTCAGCTTCGCTGACAACAACGCCGGCGCCGGCGGCGGAAGCGGAGGAAACAGGGACGTTTCCGGGTAGATCGAGCGCTTGAATAAACCCGACAGGGCCGCAATGTCCTGCCCGCAAGACGAGGCCAAAAAGATGTATAGTTAGTACGCGAGGTATCGATACAAGGGCGACGGCGTTGAGTGCTGTTGAATTACTTATTACTCTTTCTTGGGTACTCGGCAATGCATCAATCAATATATTTTCGCATTTTTCCTGTTCAACTGGTTTGAAGAGATCCCCTTGGTTTGTCAAGCCTGACTATCACCCCATCTGATGAAGGCATATGAAGTGACAGACAGCAGCGAGAACCAGCTGTCTTCACTCTAACGTACTACATGCACCCCAGCTCTCTACATTACGTATACCTAAGGGGGAGTATCCCATGTCGCAGTCTGCTCAGTCATCCGCTAATTGCGTGTGCTGCATACTATACGTTACGATGTGGCTTCTATCCCAGAGCACAGCCCTGCGGCGTCCCGAGCGTTTTTGGGCCCGGCCTGGACTGGATTGGTATTCCCTTCGCGAGTGTTAAAATTGCAGTGTAGGTAGGGGGCGACTTTTGCATATTGTATAGATAATCCGCTACATTCTTCTATGCTTTGAGCATTTGGAGAGGGGAGACCGCAGTCGCACGAGTAAGACCCCTCGGCATATATCCCTTACTTCACGCAAAGCGAACTTCGCATAACCAACGTATTTGGCTCTTTCTTTGTTATTGCAATTTGGCTAAAACGGTTTCCGGTCCACATGCTGGTGTGCCAAAAACATACCAGCATTACACCTAATTCCATCCTCGTCAACCTCCAGAATATGTCGCCAAGCTCCCAGATCCAGTATGGCGCTGTAGCCGCCGATGCTACGCGGCCAGATCCCACAGCAACCACAGAGAGCTCCGCCGTCCCGGAACAAAGCGCTTTCGACACTCCAGAATCTCCAAGCACTCATCCCAAAGTGGCTCCGTAGTTATTGGACCGATCACAGTTCCGCCTCGAGTGTTGACTTATCCCGATAAAACATGTATACCGGAGGCTTGGTTAGGGCAGGACTGTCGCCATATCCATTACCAAAGCTTCCCCTTGGGGTCCTACAAAACGACACAATGATCCCCGGTGTCACGGCGACCGGCGTATACGAGCTCCACCCCGACTGGTCAAGCTTGCGACCCGGCCCTGCCCCGGGCCATGCGAGCTGTCAAGGCGAATTTATGGAGGCATACGGCCCGGAATCAGTCCTCTGTCCGCGTACCTTGCTTCGCACAATGCTTGAGAAAGCCGCAACATACGGTCTAAGCGTTTTAGTTGGTTTTGAAATTGAGACGCAGAGAAAGGCGCTCAGTATAACTGATATGCTTCCCGAGAGTTTGGAACAGACAGTTAGCGCACTTAAAGCAGACGGAGAACTTATCCGCCTCTTGCATCCTGAGGCTGTAGAAAGGTATATTAGCATCAAGAATGCCGAGATTACCTTCCTAGAGCCCATGAGCCCTGACGAGAGACGACAGTGGATTTTTGGAGAGATATTAGTGGGGAGTGTTCGATTATTTCTGCGAAGAGTACGCAAGATCTGTGACAATAGGTCTGACTTGACCTCTCATTATATATACTCCTGTGTAGCTCCGTTACTGGGCAGGTCATTTCATAACTTGTAGTCCACTAAGAAGCGACATGTGGTGTCTTTCTCGAAATACGCCGCGCTAGCAGCCCCTTTGTAAATGTTATATTTCAGTCCAAGCCTGGGCATTCAGGCTGTACAGGCGACAAAATGTTACTATCCAGACCTGACGTCACCTGTCAAACCTCGGTCACTTCTCCAGATTGAAGAAGACCTAAGTTAGGAGGTTGAACAAAGAGCTGTAGACAAGTCAGCTCAGGTTCCAGCCTGTCTTCTGCCGGAGATACACCATTACGAACTACCTACTCTCGAAATGATACACTGCTAGTGTTTTGTGTGCGCCTTGCAGTGTCAGTTCTCTGATGAGGGCTCATATTTCTACCTTGCATTCAAAATACTGCTCACTGCTCACACTACACATTGATCTACTGCCATAGCATTAGTTGCGCGTTTACGTGTTACCTATGGCAATGTCCCCCGTATATGTCAAGCGAGTAAGCAAGGCTTTGTTAGGCATTACATATCTTCTTCACAGCAAGAATGAGTTTCTGTCGGCGGAAGTCCAGCATTCAATATTTCTTACTTTACAGACTGTGGTCGGCTTTGCGCCATTAGAATGCCGCTGATCCTACTCTGCCGATGATACTAACTGATGAAGCGCGGGATGTGCCCGGTGTTGACTGGATGACTAGCAGCACCAGAAGGACTATAGTCTCCATGTAGTATATCCTGCTGTGTATAATAGTCGCGGACTTTGATTTACCTACGAGACACATTCGATATCAGATCCGCAAAACCAACTCCCCTGCAAGATTTGAATCAGTGATGCCGGAAGCCTTACAGAGCCCACGAGAAAGCTATTTACCCCCTGCAGCGCTACATCCGGCTCATACTTGCGACTCCAAGTATTGCAAGCATTTGAGATTCCGGAAATATTCTACCGCCATCTTTCGCCCTGAGGGCCGGCAGTAAAACATACCCCGAGAAGGGCCGAGATTCTGCGTGCTTGCAACCTTCGGTCCGAATCCGTCAGACTCCCCGCTGAAATCAGCCAAGTGTGACTCCTGGCTTGCCTGCATGTACCGCAAGGCACCAGTCATATTCACGACTTTTGGCAACCCGCCGGATTGGGTTGCGGCGAGACACGGCCGTGTTACGTCAGCCACATGCCATCTACTCGATACTACGCTGGGTTTGCCGAAGCTGGGGTTTCTACCGGGTTCATGAAAAGTTATCCAGGGACAATCCAGCGAGCTGGGTCTCATCTGATATTGCCGTTAAATTGGCCGAGAGTGACACTAATGCGATGCAATAACCCACCAGGGGAATTCCTCGAACCTTCATGCCTTGCATTGTGGGGTACAGCGCGGGGTGCGGATCTGTTCCAGGGATATATATCTACCCTAGTAAATCGTGATGTGGTGTGGAGCCATCCAGAAAACGCGACCCGGAGCGAGGGTCTTGTACCATCATTTTAACTTAGTGCTTGATTGATCCTCACCTGCACAGATAGCGCAAACGTGGACAGTATAGTAAACCATTAGAAGCTAAGTTCAGCGTTGATAGATCTACCATATCTCGAAAACAAGTAGCATGCTTAGGTTCTTCCTCCAGTACACGGATATTTACTTACCTAAGTAGCCTTTCGGTGGATAACAAGTGGAAAAAACCAGCCGAGCTTTGGATCAAGTTGGGCGCCTGCTCGTCAGACCACTATGACTACTAAAAGCATAATCAAGTTCAACCATTGGACGACTGGGAGACTTCATAAGCAATAGCTAAGCAAGGTTGACTCCGTAGGTGAATGTAATTGCTAGACGTTCGGTCTGTCAACACACCCCGCCTAAAATTTCGGACTCTTGCCGGCAACTTGACTTCTGAATCCTGGCAACCTGAAGTCAGACAAATGACCCAAGGAGCACGTGTGGTGATGTATTTCGCCTGTTGTTATTATGCCGCGGCATTTCAGTAACATCACAACCCAAATACGGACAGGAATTCGTCGATCCTTATACGAAACGAAACAGTGCTACAGCGCATTGATTTGTTATCTACCGCCTTAGACTTCCGCAGTTCGGCGCGGACACTTCGCAAAAATCCGTATCTATGTGTTTGTGGATCTGCCGGATTTCGTTAATTGGAAAGTGGACAGTGGGGAAACTTCGGGGGATCCATTTTCCAAGAATGAAACCTGATTACATCACACGTTCAATACGGAAGGTGGGCGAACCCTGACGGTCACATGGGGAAGGCATGTATATAGGTCTGCTTTTATAGATCGCTCGAGGTAACACTTGTTAAACGCCTGGCGCTCTCTGTACATGGGACGCAATACATGCTACGTTGGGAGCATCGCTAGTCCTAGTTGGCAGTATAGTCCGAATGGCACTAGACAAAATAAGACTGATTCGTACCAATTGAGACGGAAATACTTTTGCAGGTTTTCATTGTGAAAACTATAAAAAGTGTCGGTAGGGCCATAATCTGTCGAAGATATTTGTGTTCCAGCCAGGGAGTCGCGCACTCTGTTGAAGCAACTGTGTACAAAACAATGGGTCTGCTCGCCGCCGTTCTCCTATACACAGCCTCGGTGCTTGCTGTGCCAGGCAGTATACTACAAAGAGCAAGTCCCTTGACAATTTCCACCTCAAGTGGTTCGGTCACTGGCTTTATCAATAAGACCACCCCAGATGTCCGCCAATTTTTGGGCATACCCTTCGCAGAACCACCCCTCGGCTCCTTGCGCTTTCAACCGCCCGTAGCGAAGTCCGCTGGGGCCCCGATCACAGCAAACAAGCTCCCAGCAAACTGTATACAGTTCTCAGGTTTCAGTTCAGGATTGACAATCGCCGGCCCTGTGTCACAAGATTGCTTGTACCTCAATGTATACACGCCCGCGAATGCTGCATCCGGAAGCCTGCCGGTTCTCATTTGGATCTACGGCGGTGCTTTCATTATCGGAGGATCCGACGTACCATACCAGGTCCCTGATCAGTGGGTCGAGCGAACGAAGTCACATATCGTTGTGACATTCAAGTAGGCCTCAAAGCGTCCCTCCTTCGATGCTCGAATACTCACAAGAGTTTCTCAGTTACCGCCTCGGCGCCTTCGGCTTTCCCAATGCTCGGGCCCAGACTTTGAATGCAGGTCTTCTAGATCAACGATTAGCGTAAGTTAAGAACAATACCATTTTTCAGTCGAGACACAAATTGCTGACTACCGCGATGCAGCGTGGAATGGGTCTCTAAAAACATCGCGGCTTTCGGGTAAGCTCTACCTTTACATACTGTGCACAGAATTTTTCTAAATTTCATTGATTTAGTGGGAATCCTTCAAAGTTGGTGATATGGGGTCAGTCGGCTGGAGCCGCGTCCGTAGGCTTGTACGGATACGCGTATCCCCAAAACTCTCTCCTCTACGGCGCGATCGCCGATTCGGGAGGTCCAAGCATGTTGCTAGCCAATGATCCTACACACTCAACTTTCACAGGTCTCGCGGGGACAGTTGGATGCGGCAATCTTGACGCAAACGGCGAGATGGCCTGCATGCAAGCTGTCAATTCCTCGAAGCTTGAATCTGCTGTTCTGTCATACCCGGGGTCATTCGCTCCAGCCCTAGACGGGAAGACCGCATTCAATGATACAACTGCGCGGATTTCATCGGGACGAATTGCAAAATATGTAAGTAGAGCATTGTTGATAGTAGGGCCACTCATGAGGCTAATATTCAAAAGCCAATGATAATGGGCTCCAATGCGAACGAGGGTGGCTCCTTTGGCGGTTCAGACCCTATCACCTGCCCAACCGTGGATGAGATTGAGTGAGTAATCAGCTATTAGACAACAATATCACGTATTTCACTGACAAAGCCGCAGAAATCGCCAGAGATATGGCCTCACTACATACCAATATTTCTATGCCGGCAACTTCACCAATGTTTCACAAGGTCAAGGCGCAACACACAGTAGTAAGGCATCAAAACTAACCAGTGTTCTAAGGCAACCTCTAATATCTCTGTAGGCGAATTACCTCTAGTTTTTGGGACTTACGGCCTGTATGGTACTTCCACCACTTTCGAGAAGCAAGTTAGTGAAGGCATGCAAGGTATTCCGAAGTTCTCCTTCAGCAGTACATGGGGGTATGAAGCTAACATGACTCAGATTATTGGCTGGCGTTCATCAAAAACCCAAATGCCCCACCTTCTGCCGCCGGAACCGTCTGGCCGCCGTCCAATGCAAATACAAAATCTGTGATGGAGTTTGGGACCAACAACAGGGTGCAACAGCTCATATCAGGAAGTTCCATAGGCCCAGGCTGTTAGCGTTATTCCTACCATGCAGGGGTAATGGGTTGGAAGCCCACCCATAGCGCTAAAACCGGGTAGCCACGTGGCCAGCGATGTGCCCTACTCTTGTCTCGGAGAGGTATGCTTCCAGTCGTCCGTCTTTTTACGTTACAGTATTACCACTCCTTATAACTGTCAATGTGACAACAAAATAACTTATGAGATGATGCATGTACTAGAAGGTGCTCCTGACAAATCATTCGTTCTTAACACTTCCTTCCTTTGGGCTCTACGCCACGCAACACAATTGCCATTCCAAAATGCTGTTTTGTGTACAAGCTGGCGGGGTGACTTATGGGCCAAGGCTGAAGCCGGCTCCAGACGCCGCGGCTATTGCCAGCACTTCGCCAGTCCGGATTTGGCACCACGATCCGTCGAAATCCATCCGGTATTGCACAGAGCGGGATATTTCCGATAGTAGCAGTAAGAGCATGCAGTGAATGGCACCCGAATACTCCCGTAATTGCCTCGCCGTAGTGTACAAAGTAGTTAAACATGGCTCTCGACCCACATTCATCATTGGAACAATGAGACTCGGCTGTAGGATATGTTAACTATTGGGCTTGTGCAGTGTTCGGTCCGCTCTAGATAGCCAAAGCCTTCTATTTGGCACTTTGCGAGAACTAGAGGCTCTTGGCGCGAGGGTAAATCACCCGGACCAAGCTAAGCGGGTAGTAGCAGCCCAGTCTCTTTTAGGCTTTCCTTTGAGCCTTCTTTAGCTGCGCAGATCATGGCTTTAGCTACTATGTATACAACAGTGCGGGTTATTTCCGTGTGTCCCTTGTGTGGAAGTTTCTTCAGGCCCAGGCTTGGAGAATGAGGTCACCCGTTACATGGAAGCCGATCACCGGGGGCTCGGCAGGATTGGCACTGGACTTCCTGGGCGCTCAATTGCCGTCACTCCAAATCCCGCCGGTCATCATTTTACATGAATGCATTGCCGTTTCATCTCAATTATTGTAAAATGATCTATGTAGCTCCGAGTCCATGTGTAGTGGGTACGTCTGTCAGCGACATAGATGAACGGTGTTACTACGCTGCGATAGCTACTACAGGCAGCGGCACTGCAACCATGTTGGCAGACACTCATCAACAAGACGTAGGCCAGTTGAAATATCGAATAGGTGTATCTGTTAGAAGTTGAATTTTATCCCTCCCTTCTTGGCGAGAGACAAGGGCGGGGCTATATAAAGGAATATATTCGCTCCTATTACGGTGACTAGCCTTATCACGACCGTCCCGCGGGACAGCCATTCGACGAAAAATAGCAGCAGGCTCAGAATTGATTCTTGGTGTCATTAGAAGTCATTCATAGACGACGTTTGTATCGAGCGGAACCTGGCTCTGATGGTAAGTGGAGCTTGAGTCGAACGGAGTAATCCCCAAACACCTATGTAATTTCCTCATAGTTTAGTTGATCAAATCACGCCTAAAGTACTCGTTTCTCTATCAGTTTACCTCGAGACCGGCCCCCGATACATATTAGTCAGTAGTCAACTCAAATCAGCATTTATAATCTTCGGCAATACACATTGCTTCAGTCCATTAATTTGCATAATCGAGGAAGACTAACGCCCAAAGGAGAGATTTGAACATACTCTCCAAAGTAATCGAATGAGAGTAAAAGGGTAAATCTTCATTGAGCCGCCATGGAAATTTGAAAGGAAATTTAGCACATAAGAAGGCAGCTGGTGTAAGCGGTAATGGAATGACTGTCAATTGCTCCAGAGACCCGCTAGGATATATGTGGTCTGCAAGAAATATTTTCCTCTCATATTTCTTACCTGTTCATTCGTATTGCATCTCGGAAGCTGTGAATCGAATCAAGAACTCAGATCTCTAGACTGACCCTTTTCTCTCTTTGGCCCCCTAAACCTTAAGGGTCACGGGGGTAGGCCCTTTCAGGAGCTACGTAATACGGAGTGTAGCTGAGTGACACTAGACGTGTTGGGCACTACATTCCACGTCGTGGCCAGTTCTCATCCCAAGTGCCTTAGACAGGCACAGCTTGGGAAGATAAAATTGTCCAACGTTGAACCACATCTTCATCAACGCGTTGGAGATCAAGCATATCATGTGAAGCCAACAAACGTGTTGAGCCTGTAGATCGAAAGCTCAATGTTTAACCTGAGGGGCAAGATCGGTTGTCCTTGCGAGTTCTCCAAGCAACGTGGACAGTGGAAGAGGTAGTCCAATAACCTGGTGTAAACTTCACATTGCAGCGTCCTTGATTCATAATATAGTTTGGTATTAATTGTTATTTGCTTTCGAGAAGGGTTGCGCGGACCGCTATTTCTAAGCCCGATTTTGGCTCAGTGACCTGGCCAAATGCCTTTTATACAAGTAGAGCAGGTGTGTCCCATGTGAACCCCCTCTGATATTACGTAAAGGGGTTATATTACGGCAGAAGATGCCTTAGACCGGCCTCAGTTCCCATCATTATCATTCCCATGGAATAGGCACGAAGTCTGGTGAAATTGATCAACCGTTGCGTGGACTCTCCTGCTGGTCTGTAATGATAGCAGTGGATAATTTGCCCATGTCGGATGTTCAGTAGTTTGCCTTATTCCCTCGAGTACGTGAGACAAGTGATAAAAGACGATGAGAACGACCTTAGGCGTTGCCACTAGTCTGAACGATCGACTTCTTGACCGTAATGTTCCATCCCTGCCCTCCATTATCTGGGCTTTCTGCCAGGTTTGTTTGGCTGCTATTCCAATCGTCTCCGCCAGCAAACGGGTTTGAAGTGTCAGATCGGTTATCACCCTTGACCTTTTGGCTCTCGATATCGACGCCGTGGTTGTTGCCATAGTCGATGACAGTTGTCACTCCGAGACCCTTGTTGCTTCTGTCGTGCAAGTCGAAACCAGTCTCTCCTTTAGGATGACCGCTGCCTGTTCTTTGCCATTGACGAGCAGAGGTGCCGTGTCCTGGAGCAGATGATCCTCCACCGAAGAAGGTCTTCAGGAGGGGTCGGAGAGTTGCAACTCCGGCAGCAGTGATGCCAAGACCAGTCTCAATGGTTGACCAGATTGCGACATCTGCGGTGGAGTAAAGGAAATCGTTGATGTCGGTCAGGGAGTAGAGATAGGGGAAACGGACGATCGTCGCACTCGATGCACTATTGATTACTGTGTCAGCATGTGTGAAAACAGACATATGGGATCAGGCATCTAACATTGCACCGGCAGCCAAAATAAGCACCACCGAAACTTTCACTCGGGTGTTCATCTGTAGCGACCAAACGAGGAAAATTGGAAGAATACTGTAGGTCCAGTCGGTGACACAGCTAATGGCGGAATAGCCATAGAATGCATTCGCAACCACGGACGCATCCAGGCAATTTCCCTCTGGGGGGTTTGTTGAGTAACGAAGCCAGAAAAGAGAGGTGGGCCGGCATTGCAGGACGAAAAGAAGGAAGAAGAAAAAACTGTAGAGTTCAGTGACTCCGATAACAGTCCAAATGATGATCTTGTGGACTCTTGTCACGCAAATGCGCAGCAAAAAGATGGCAATACTGGCTTTGATAGCCATGTTGCACAAGACGTAAAGAGGTTCACACGTCCACCACATCTGCAACATGTTAGATTCTCGCCCCTAGCACAGCGTATAGCAGCAGGATCATTGCTTACCTGCATTGCCTTCGGGACGTGTCCATCTTCGATATCAGCGAAATGTTTTCCAGTGCCGTATGTGACGCCGGTGATTTCATAGGCGCAGAAGATTATGAACAGGAACTGTGAATGGTCAGTAGGATTACGTGTTTGTAGAAAGGAATGAGACCTACCTGAGCCGCCACCGCAAGCCAGTCATCGTAGGAGAACGCCTTGATTACCCAGCCACGACAGTAGATTCGAAGAAGTGTCGCAATAGTGGACAGAATCAAGAAGGTATACGTGATCGATGCCACTTCCGTCCCACGAGAAGCGACCGCCATTGCGAAGAGGTGGGGATGCTGATATCAAGATTCGAATGACCAAACTGCAATATAGAAGTCGGGCGTCCAATGGATTGCGATGCAGCTGTCAAACGAATGATATTCCACCACCAGCAAAAGGTCGGACGGTCGTTGGCACGAGAAGCAAGACAGCATAATGCACCAGCCACGTGTGAGCGGCATGCCGCCAGGTTCTATATACCGAGCTGAAACGGCGTGACGAGGACCCCTGGGCGAAGGTGTTTGTCACTAGCAGGCGCCTCGGCTGATCGATATTAATCAGACGTTCGGGCCGGGACTAAAGCCCATCGTGGCTTGGCTAGAAGGCGACAAGCGTATCCCCGACCCAGAGCGTAGTGGGACGCTGAAGCTGAAGGGACCCTTCTCCACCGACGTGACAGAAGAATGGTAGCCAATGGTAGACTAAGACGAGCCTGAAAACCCTGGCGTTGCAGTTTGACGAGCATGGACTTTCTGCACTAGATCGATCGGCTCTATGCATTGTTGGCGATCTTCCAATTCAGCCAATCAGCATCAGGCTTTGGAGATAATTGAATGGGGACCTGTGAAAGATCAGCCATTAGCTTGTCAGGAACATGACACGCGTAGTACCGGAGCCTGCCGGATAGCTAGTTTTGTACGGCTTACCATGGGAGGCAATAGCTCAGGGGCAACTTCAAAAAAATGTACGTTATGGAATGCGTCTCGATGCGGAGGTGGAGAGTCTGTCAGAAGATAGCTTGACGCGTCGGCCACGACAGGCCGAATGGTGCATATAGAACACGGGACTCTGCTCCTGGCGCGAAGAGCCGTCTTTCTCGTGGCTTGCAAAAAATTTGCCAGCGCCTTTTTTGACAGCCGGCCAACCGGCCCAAGTGGCCATCGGCCAGGAACCAGTCGCACTGCCGATCGCAGATAACGCTAAAAGATGACTTGGCTTGCGCCAGTTGAGTGCCAGGAAATGCTTGCCCCCTTAGGGAAGGATCTAGCAGCTTGCTATCGCTGGCTAGCAGGTTGACATCTGGGCCGGGTTCGAACAGTGAACTGGAAGCTTGGCAGAACGCACATGGCAGACCCGACTATGTACTAAAAAACCTTTTGGCTCACATCTCCGTTGGCCTTGAGCCCTTGACGTTTTGTTCGGTTTTCCCTTCCTAGATGAAGGATAGGCCCAGAATCTGGACTAGATAAGGTTTCAGATGGCGCCTCTGTCACTTGGGGCCTGGCTTGAAGCCACTGACGTCCTGCCACGTGAGGTTGTCAAGATAGTCAACTCACCAAAATGGCCAGAAACTAAACACAAATTGGTGCGGCTCTAGATGCGGATGCATCCTAATCCGGTTGAGCTCTATCCTAAACTGCGCTGGAGTACCGAATCACTTTGCGCGCGGAAGGCCCCGGCCTGATCGGTAGACCAACACCGGCGAGCACTCGCCGTGATTAGCCCCGAGTGCTACAAAAGCACTCAAGGCATTTGCGCATATCGGATTCCCATAAATAATCTCGTGCGAGTGACATTACCCTTCGTACCAGAGTCGACATCAGCATGCAGGGCCTCTATGAAGATCATCACCTCCGCACGAAACCTCCTCTTCACGCACGGACTTTTGCAGATTAGCTTCTCCTGTCCCATGCTAGCGCAAACAATTGCTCACTAGCATGGACCGAGTTTCTGGAACACAGAATCGGAGAAGAATTGGTCATAGTCTGCAGCTTTCCCATAGGAGTGTCAATTTAATTCCCGGGTTAATGCATTTCCGAAGAAATACTAGAGAGCGCCTCTGAATCATGTGCAAGCCTCTAGATAGCGCTTGCCCACTCATGAACATCAATGATTGCCTGTGCAAAGACACTAGGTGCCTCAAAAGGGAAAGCATGCCCTACAGGGGCTTCCCTCCTCTCAAAACGTGCCTTAAACATACTAGCATGGGCCTCTGTGCCTCCAGGCTTCAACGGATCTTGTGTTCCGTCCAGAGTTATACTGGGGACGACGATCTTAGGTTATGCTGCCAACTTCCGTTCAAGCTCCTCCAATTCCGGGTCGCCGTCAGCATTTCCCATACAAAACCGATAGGTATGTATGACAACATCGACAAAGTCAGGATTGTCAAAAGAGGAAGCAGTGCGATCAAAAAGTTCGTCGCTGAATGACCAATTTGGTGACCATTGCTTCCAGAGCAGTTTGCAGAGACTCCTTCGATCCCGGCTCAAACACTTTCTTCCCCTATCGCTCTGGAACAAATGTTGATACCACACGACACTCTCCAAAGCCGGCTCACATGGCTCCTTCTGCGCAGCTCGATCGATAATGTCGTAGCCAGCATAGCTCACAAGCCCCGTAACTCGATCTGGCCATAAAGCCGTGGCCACACAAGAAGCTAGACCGCCCCAGTCAAACCCCGCAAGAACCGCCTTCTCAATGCCCAGCGAGTCTAACAAGGCGATCAGATCTGCCCCTTGTGCAGCTTGTTGTCCTGTCCGCATAGTATGTGGCGAAAGGAAGCGCGTGGGCCCAAAGCATCGCAAATATGGGACAATCACTCGGGCCCCCTGCGCAACGAGGAGAGGGACCACTTCGTCGTAGGCATGAATGTCATACGGAAATCCATGAGCAAGAACGACCGGCCAGCCTGTAGATTTGCCATGCTCGTAGTAGGCAATTTCTAAAGTTGCCGTTCTGGTGGTTTTCAGCTGCGACATTGTAATATGAGCTGAAAGTGGATTGTGGATGCTGGGGTCGTATCGCGGATGGGGGAAGAGCAGGGATAGGCTGTCCTTTACTTCGCTCTGATTTCCGATAACGGTAAAGGTGCAATGTCGAAGGATGAATTCTCGATCTTTTGCGGCTCCCTTTCTCCAAAGTGTGTTCGCACCACTGTCAGTGATGCCGATTCCTCAAACGGGACCCTGCAGTTGATTACGTCTTGGAGTTGACTTTGACACGACAATAGGGCGCAAGTCTGCCTAAAGAAAGTTACCTCTAGACCCCACTTCCGTTAGTGCCACATCACTTCTGTGGAAACGCGGCCTGGCTTAACTTCGGCTCAGCCTCGCCTAAGATAATATTTATTATACGTTTTATCACATTATAAACTTGTATGTATATTGACTATTAACAGTTTACATTTTTAGGAGTTATGGGGGAAAGGTAGGGCCATGCACAGGCCAGTACTCTCCGACAGGGACACGTCCAGGGTGACGACAACGAGCGCCTCAAGTGCACATTTGTATCGTACGGGATGTTTGCTGAAGCAAACAACCAACCAATCCAAGCCCAGAAGCCGGGCCACATCTTTTAACGTGCAAGCTCTATCAATACCGTTCGAGTGGAGGCGTTGAGCAACATGACCGGGCCCAAGGTTCACCTGGCTTCCGTTTTCGGCTTGTACTCATAGGCATGACTTGAAAGTATGAGAGAAGGTCGGTAACTATCAACAAGTGTTGGGACTCGTTGATGTCTGTTGGTAGATGTTAACAAGTCCGGAACTAACGGGTATGGTTTCCTTAGTACCATAGCCCGGACAGCTCACACACTGTCAACTTCAGGTCCTTGTTGACCCTTCCAAGTTACGAAGTGGAGCAAGCAAAACTTTCCATGGCAATGAATAACAGGACATCGTGACACGCTCACTCCTGATAATAGACATATGCTTGCCCCTCCCTGATCGAAGGCTCGGCCGTAGGAAGGGACTCCCCTGTCGTGCTTCTTCTCAATTGTATAAACATCAAAATCTTTGGCCTATTTATTGTTTATGTCGATCATCAGCCAAGTGTACTTGTTTCGTTCATGTGTTATATTAACACCTACTTACTCAGTGTGATGCCGTGACAGACAACATCTGCCCCGGCTACAATGTGTTATCGTCGCATCAAAAAGGGATCCCAGCCCTCAAGATGTCTTGATAAGGATGAATTCCCCGCCCAGCCTACCGGGGTAAGACACCCCTTGCCTGACATGTCGTATTCGACCGTGATAATAACATTGTTTTGGCGTAGTGGGTGAATTATCCGCCGACCAGTCATTTCCGGATAACGTTGTTTATCCTGAGGCCTCGAATGCTCCTTCTGGTAGCTGATGCAGCTGACGTACCAGCCATACAAGTTGAAATGGACTCGGTGGGGCATCATCTCTGTCCACAACATCGGTTGGATCAGTTACCGACTTGAAACGAAAAGAAAAAGACCTAAAGCACTTCATAGAGCTGGCTGAATTGGAAATAATCAGATTGGAAGACTATGTAGGACAGCTTTATTAGATACACACAAGTACCACACGAAAAAGGAGGTATATGGACACATAGGTCCTTGGTCGGACTTTTTAGTACATTATACGAGGGTTACAAAACAACGAGTGGGTGTCTTGTAAAAAGCATAACTAGTTTATAGGCTATCAGAACAACACTTTAACACATACGACTGATGCGCAAAACAAGCAGCGGGCAGAGCTGGTTCTAGCTTGAACTAAAATTTCGTTATAGTAAGTTATTCCATTAACTGTTAAGTAGGCGCTTTAATAATTCGACCCTCATATCTTGATCATTTATCTTTGCGATATTTCCCGTCAAGTCCTGTGTAGCTATCGTTCTGCCAAGCCTCCGGTCAAGTGACGCCGAGATGCTGCGGTAGCCCCATCATCGTCCGCGGGGCTCAGCAAGGCAATGGATGTCTGCGCCCGGGTCTGGGTGCGGGTGGCAGCCAAGATAGAATAATAAGCACGGATGGCAGCGGCTCCACTAGCATTTCCAGCCGTTCCCTCCGACCCCCGGCCCGGGTATGTATGTACATACATTTACTTGTACGACACACACATCCAAGGGCGTGCATTCTATGTTGGCCAGTGCAGGGGCCAACGACTACGGCCAACTACTCAAGTACGCATCGTGTTGGTCAGTCAGCCTTTGTGTGCCCGTAGGCTAGGCCGGAAGAGCTCTCTGCTGCCGGTGGCTCCAACATAACCGAAAGCCCCGGCTATCTGACTGAGAAGCTCCCCAGCACGCGCGACCAGCACGAGGACAAGAGTTTGACGCCCTGGCTCCAACAAGGGGAATTCGCCAGCTGTCACCGTGCCACCAGTCTTCAGCATGTCTCCGACCCAGGCACGGCTCCAAGAGCTCCCTTATCTAGTTCTTCTCGACGTCACATACTTTGCCTGCTGCGACTGGAAGAACTCTGTGCCTTGGTCCATTCATCTTCCGTTTTTCATCAGCAGTATCTACTGGACCGCAAGTACCTGCTCTGGACGTCCTTCACAAACACGCTCCAGGGTCTCTCGGTCGATGCATTCGCCGTCTACCGCTCTGACTCAGCCGAATTCTCAGGCACCCGGTCCAATGCCATCGTTGCGAAATTCCTCTCTACCTATCGGGATCAGCGTGACTCGAACCAAGATTTCATCGCAGCCGAGAGGCCTAGCGAGGATGAGGCTGTCGCCATGGTTTACTTCTTCTTCTCTATTAGGAAACCCCTCGTCGGCTACTACGCTCGGTGGACAAAGGCCAAGCTCGCTGACGAGGCCGGTGGCTCCGTATGTCGAAGAGCATCGGGTACTGCGTGCATGGTACCGCTTCCAGCTGTGCTGTGACCTTTTCGGCTTGGGCTCAAGCCATGTACACTTGCCATTCTGGTTCAAGTCCACCTCTTTGAATATTTGGGACACATTTCTTTACTTGTTCCCCCCTTGGGAGGTTGAGGAAGTGGCCTGCATTTACACCTTTGCCGAAATGGAATATGGGCATATCTTTGATAGTATCCGCTGGGACGTGCACGAAACAAATCCCAAATTCGACGGTCAAAGGCCGCCGACACCAGATGGCGCATTCGACCTAGATAATAGCTGTTAGTTTATGCCCTATCCCCTTGCCACTGTGCGGCACCCACGGAAATCATGAACACCGTTGTTACTAACGAATTGTTAATCCGGCAGGGATGAGAGACGGCCTCTTGACAGGGACAATTTCCCGAGGCCTGAGGCTGTTGTATGCTGTGCTTTTTAAGATGACGAGCCATGAGAGCCTCGTCCTCACAATGCAGGAGTACATGGCTCTCGCTCCGACTGCCTTCTTGGGCGATATCCTCAGTGAACGAGGACAATACGAGCGACGCAACGAACGGCCTTCGAACAGAGACCGCATACAGAAAATTGCGAGAAATTACCATCCATGGGGGACGGCATGCTGGCTACTGGCACCCTAGGTCCGCCTCTATCATGGACAATAATTTGGCGTGGAACGTACAGCAATCTCTTTGGTCACTATGTGGATGACGATTTCCGATGCTGGGATTACATCATGTGGGACGCAAAGACCCTCGGGCGTACAGGCGCAACCAAGGTCTTAGCCCGACAGTGGAAGAAGCGCTGGGATGGTACGGATCCAAGGAATCGTGTCTATTAAACAAGCACACTTCAATACATGCTATCGTTTCGTCACGCCGATATGCATCAATGGTCTGAATGCCTCGTAACCCATATCCGATTGGTCCATTTTATGGCTGCTTTGCGCATACTTGGAGACTCTGTGGCCTTGGAGGGACTGAGTAAACAGGTATAAGGATATGCGAAGTCTCCAATTTCTCACAACTATTCAATAGAATGGCATATGTCAAGCTGGTGTAGTGTCAATCTCATTAACTTAAAGACCTGAGAAAGCGGAAGCTTGGGCGGCTAGGAGTTAGTTATATAATGTTAGTTTCATCTCTAGCCCAGTATAGGCTAGAGTCGAGATACTTTTGGAGAATTAGGTATCTTCGAATCCCGATGACTCGCAAGGTTATGCTCCGATATTAGTCGAGAGCAGTCCGTCTCCTGCAGCGTCTCCTCGAGTGCCTCCTTCCCAACTGCCACCACGTGTTCCAACATCTTAATTGCCTCCTTGATCCGTCAGTCGTTAACCCTTAGCTCCATATTACAGGACTCACAGATTTAATCTCCTGTATCATCGTCGCGCATTGAGGTGCAAAGACACAGGACTGATAGTAAGGCTCTAAACACCTAGATTTTGGTTACGTTAAAGAGTTCAAATGTTACAGTTTATGATAATATATATGTTCTTATAAATTAATGCTTGCGATTGAGGCAGTTAATAGCGCAAAGTTGCACGCACGGGTTACTTGGCGATTGGGATCATTCAGCCTTCAAATTAACTCAGACACTCATTGAGCTGCTGCAAAACGTGGGATGTGCTTTTCAACATGTAGCTCAGATGTGCAAACATCGACACTATTCACGTTCTAGCAATAGGGACCCGCTCCATAGTATCCGAAGTGACTGAAACACAACATATGGCTTCGCAGTGATGTGGTTTGGCTGAGTCAAGTACTAGTACGAGAGTCCCAGGGACCTGGGTAAACTCTTTCAGTGCGTTCAGGTGGGCTTGGAAGTTGAAGACACTCGCACTCATGCAAAGAGATGTTCGACAACATGAAGCAATGCCGCGATCGATCCTGTTCGCGACGTCATTCTCAAGACGAAACGAGGCTGTGCGATATCATTGTACTATTAGGGATAATCGCACTAGCGTAGCCTAGTTTCGCTTTCGCATAGCACTATCGTGAACCGGTCCTTTGGGTTTCCTGCAGGGCCGCCACTAGTAGCCAGTCCGGATCGCGCCTCCTCACTAAAGAGTTGGTTAGGAGAGGGTTAAATACTGTATTGAGTTCGATTCTCAATGGCGCCAGGGCATTGAGGGACCCTGCAGGTCCCTCCATTTTTCTTAAAGGAGTTGGGTACGACATCCTTCGGGTGATGTGTGGCTTGAGCTTTAGGTCATACCCCATCGCAAATCGTCGAAGCGATTTACCCAAGTCGGACTGCCACATTCCTTCCAAGCACATTTGGCGGAGAGTGTACATGAAATCAAATCCACATGCAACAGCAATGCAATCCATTGGTTCCGGTTAACAGAACGTCTCAAATAGCGATTAAACCCCCTTTCTAGGGTATGGGTAGCCATTGTGAAATCTGCATTTCTGCGATAGAAGAGGACCACTCTGCGCTTGACGCAGACTGGACCTGTTCGAACAACCACTTTTCGACTTTAAACCGCCTGCACCCAAGATAAGCTTACGGCTTTGGGTGATTTGGACGTAAAGAAACAATAAGTAGCGGCTTGGTCAAAAAGCTTGTATCATACGCCACGAAGCCGAAGGCAACCTTGTTCTGTTCGCGTCGGGCCGGTGGACGCCATCCGCAGTGCCTTGATGTAATCAAGCTTCTGTGCCGTAGAGAAAGTAAGCATTAGGATGAACTAATATTTAGCTCCTTGGGCCGCAGGGCCTCTCAGCCTGCATAGCTGTCGACCTTTCGTCAAAGCACGGAAACTGACCAATCAGAGATACGTCGGTCTTGGCTCGCACTCGCTTAGTTAGCCCTTTTGGGACAAGCCTCAAGACGCTTGCGTAGGCGTGGCAGTGCGATGGATGAGATAGCACAATCCGATCAGCCATACCGCTATGGAGGCAGCCCTTGATGGACGAGAAACTGCAGATCCGAAAGCGAGCTTACGCTTTCACGAGTATATAGGGGTCGCGATGGATTCTTGAAGTTTTCGCTATTTCGCACCAACTATCATTCTCGCCAACGCCTGCTAAAGTAGCTTCCCATTTATATTCACGAACGAGCTCACAAGTACAGAGCACGCCCACTCTCGTCAGATAGCCCGATATACAGACTCATCTTCGAGAACTTCGAGCCTACACTTTCAAAAATGGCCCTTACGGAACGGAACGGTGTCTCGATCGCCGAGATCTGCGTTTACACACCAGCCCTCGCCATAGCCATTTGGCTTTGCGTCCGCCATGGCTTTGGGCGCAGCTCCGGCTGGTTGTATTTGATCATTTTCTCTCTCGCACGACTCATTGGTGCCTCAATGCAACTGGCCACCATATCCCAACCCCAGAACATCAGCCTGTACATCGGTTCCTTCACGCTAGAGAACGTCGGCCTTTCACCCCTGATCCTCGTCGAGCTGGGACTGCTCAGTCGCGCTTTGACCAGCATCCGGAAATCAGTCACAACCTTTGTCAATGAGCGAATGTTGCGCGCCATACAGATTCTTGTCCTGGTGGGACTTATCCTGGGCTCAGTGGGAGGCAGCAATGCCGGGTCCAATTACGCCGTCACAGGGGTTTATACAGCCTCGAGCATTTCCCAGGCTGGATTGGGCCTCATGATCGCGGGTTATATTCTCACGGTACTAGCAGCGGTGCAAGTCGCCGTACAGATCTCCCATGCTGAGCCGGGAGAGAGGAGACTCAGCCTTGCCGTGGGTTTATCGTTGCCCTTTGTCTTGGTCCGACTCGGGTACGCTGCCGAGTCTACCTTTGGGCACAACTCGCGCTTCAACCAATTCACTGGGGATGTCAACATCCAGCTTGGCATGTCTGTCATTATGGAAATGATTGCGATTGTTATTATTGAAGGATTTGGTCTCACGTTGAAAAAGATACCCAAGGGCCAACAGCTTACAGCGACTGAAGACGCCAGGAAGGTCTCGAGTCAGAATCAGTATGAGATGGGCCCACACTATGAGACTAATGCAGGGCACTAGATGTAAACAGATGTAAACTTCGAACTCTCCTTTGTGTATAGATTTTGTTTAGCTCTTAGAGATCAATTAGACCAACAGCGGCATAGATGCGAATTTTACAGCAGGAATTGAAGTCGAGTATTTATGAACGAAAATGATCATCGTCGTGGTTACACGAGTACTATACTCCTCCAATCCTTTTCAATATCTGCCCAGACGTCTGCATACACTACTCCAATAGCCAGCCGCCTCATTACACCACGCTCCTTATCCTCCTCGCCAATCATCACCAAGAGGCACAATTCGTCCCATGACAACACCGGTAGATTCCCACGCAGGCCACTGCTTTCGCTGAACTGCATTCTCCTTGTCGCGGTACATACACCCAAGACGAACACTGGGTGCAGCTTCTGATTTTCTGCGTGCGTATAGAAGTTTTCGTGCGCAAAGCGCGGGCTCATAGACATGGTGATACCAACCGCTGTCTTGCTGTCCGGTGTGGTTATGTGGCAACCAGTGAAGTGTCGACGTGGTGGGATCATGAAAAAGGCATACCCATATGGATTCACAGATAGGTATGCACAGGTAGTGGTGAACAATAGGGCGTTGGGGCATTGGATAGCAGTTGCGTATGCTTCTTCGAACCCATCGTGTCGTTTATCTACCGTCACTGGATCATCATGAGAGATGCTGTTCTGTGGCCACCAGGACGAAGGTATCGTATATTGGTCCAGTATGCGAAGAGCCGTTATAGCGCAGGTACTCTCCTCGGGGTCATAGTAATGGCCTTGCCGGTCGTCATGAGGTTTTGCTTTACCAAATTCCGTTCCTTCCCACCCCTTTTCTCGTGCAAACTTCCGAACCTCTTGAATCAATATGTCGATTTGTTCCTTGCCCATGTCCAGAATGTTGTCATCAGTGGAACGTGAAGTCGGCCACCACGATAAGGCCGCTTTCTGAATGAGCACCAACGCCTGTCGCTTGACATGCTCTTGAAGAAGGTTGAGCGCGCGTTTGTCCTCAATGACTGGTCGGATGCCAGTATCAGGATCAGAATAAAAGAACTCAAGGATATTTGCCTTGAGCCCGGACGCTGCCTCCAGGTAGGTGTCTTTCGCAACGGTCCAAGACCGAAGCCATTGAACCTCACCATCCAGCGCAGCCCAGCTCCAGCTTGGAATGCCATCTACAATTCGCTTAGTCGCTCTCTCGTCATAAGGTATCCACCGCAAGGATTCCAGGAAATATCTTTCCGGATGCCCCTGAAGAAGTTTGGTGCCCATCTGGCTCTGTATCAAGCCACCAACACCGGCAAAGGCGTTCATCACATCGCTCGGAAATGTAAGCTTCCTCGCGGAGTACTGGCTGATTGGGACTGAAATGTCCTCGAATGATGTAGTGGATATATGTTTCGCTTGATCATTCATGGTTCGAACTTGCCCGTACGGTGTGTCCAACCAGTCTTTCCACGATTCTGCCTCCGGCTTTTCATGCCACATCTCCGTGCCACAGTTGCCATACACGTGTCCTTCATCGAAGTAAAGACGGCGCCCTGAGAAGAGTCGTTCTTGGAAAGTCCAGGCTCTAGAATTCCACCTCGAACGCTCAAGTGCCACCTCTATCCATGGAATCCGTGCGCTTCCCATCGGGTTCCTCATCGTTGCCAGGAGGTCCCAGCTCCAATTCTCCAAGGTCACTCGCCGTGGACGGGAATCAACGCCTGGAAGCCCCTTGGTCGGACCATCTGCGAGCGCCACGATTGTCAGGAATGCCTGTTGGTAGACCATGCCCATGGCAGCTATTTGCTCCATCTTGGACTCGGGGTCATCTTGGATAATGCAAAACCGATCGACCCACAGATAACGCTTCCCGATTTGCTGGCATAGACGAATCGCATCCATAACCACCTCGGGTATGTTGTTATCGTTTAGACTGCCAGGCTTGCTCATAAGCTCCAAGTTGCTTCGCACCAACTGAAGTTCCTGTTTTTCCAACGAATCTGAGGCTGCTGCCCAAACATAACTCAGTGCCGTGTACTCGACGTTCGAAGTAGGCTGCACAACACATCGATCAAGCGTGTCAACGAGTCGAAAGGAACTGGGCAAACTGGCAGAGACACTCATAGCGGGCCCATTGCAGTCTTGCCCGTGTTCGTGAACGCACCGGTCGAGCCAATCTTTGACTTGTGCCATATCGACCAACTCCCTTTGCCAGAGAGACACCTTAGTCAGGCCGTGGCACCATTGATCGTACTGCAGAAGCAGATGAATGACGCATGGTTGGTAGACCCAATCTCCCTTCTCGTCCCCCTTCGCCATACACACTGCGAGGACGCACGTTTGACTCCAGGGAAGCAACCCCTTGCTGACCGCTGCATCCTTACTTGTACTTCGATGATGGTCAAGTGGATCAAAGACAAAGGGTTTCCAGATCGCGAGCCTGACCTTTGAATCTCTCGAATCCTCCGTGATGCGACTTTCAAGCACATCACCCACGGTGGAGCACATCATACAATTGTCTCGCCGGCTAGCGAAATATTCTCCTCCGTGAAAGTCCAGCTCCTTGAGGTCGCAGTACCCGGCTTTCCGCATAGGAGGCCAGTCACGATTGTGCTTGTAACAGAAGTGCAGTGGATTCACTGGTTTGAACTTCTGCTGCTTCTCCAGGCATGAGGAGACATGCTGTAGATCATCCCAATCCTGGCAGTCATCGCAGAGACGCGGGTTCCGCTTGCGTGGGGGCGAGGGCGCGTCGCCGCCAGGGCTGCAAATGCTGCATAAGCTCATGGTCTCTGGTAGCTTCCGCCAACCTGGCGATGGCCCCTTTTTCGGTGTATTCGTCTGTCAGGCGCAAGACAGAGTACCCAGTCCGCAAGGAAGAGGGGAATCAACGAGGCCTGACACCCACTAGTCTCGACTTACCCCTGTAGCTGAGCCTCTCCTGGCGCCCCACTATTTCAAACTCGTTCCTTGCTCGCATCAACCACAAGAAGACACAAAGCTATACAACTACGCTAGCAGAGTTAGGTCACTATCCTCCATAACCCTAAAAGAATCATAGCTGAACATGAGTTTCTCTGCTTCTTATACTGCAATTTGACTGGAGAACGTTATCACCTACTTACACCACTGAAACAGTAGAGGAGGACACGAGAATGCGAAGAGATTCATCTATTGGGGTATCATTCCTACCAACTCCTTTTATCAGATCCTGAACGTATCATGCATCCGCCTCAAACTGATCGTTGAGGTATCTGACGAAACTCTCACGTATGCTGCTCGCCCCCGAGAGGTTTCCAATCTTCTCGAGCCCAATGCCCCCCCTGTTCAGACCCATGTACGCTCTTCTCAGTCTCTGCAGCTGCGGCAGCCCCATCTTCTTCCCGGCTGGGAGTTCGACGACCAGCTTGTCCTCGTCCCCTCCAGATCCTCTAGACACGACGATCTCGTCGCCGCCCTCGTCGGACTGTTGGTCCAGAATCTGCTTGACGATATCCTGTGTCTCGCGATCCAGCACGTAGAGATAGTCTCCTCCAGCGTCACGGCTCCTCTGGACAGTGGCCTGGTTTGGCTTGATGACTTTGCGGCCTTCTCCGGCGATGGCGTCCCACAAACTGTCAAAGACCTGTTTCGTTTGTGCTTCGTCGTCGTCCCAGATCAAGGTGAACAGTGGGCTGTCCCATCTGGTCATGGGGTTTGGCTCCTCGTATCGAAATACCAGATTCTCCCAGTTCGCTGGTGAGTATGGTCCTTCTTGTTCATCGTGTGCGGAATCCGGGTCTGTCTGCTCTTGCTGCTTCGCCAACCGCTCCTCGTTCACCTCTCTTGCCTTGTCTTTACTGCATCCGATCTGCAGAATGCAGCTTGGTGTGCGTACGGCCTTGGATTCACAGTGGAGTTGGTAGCGCCACCCCTTGATATAGTTGAGCCCGTCCAGGATCACGATATCCTTGTCTGAGAGTACTCTTTTCACAGCACCGTAGATACTGGCGCGGGCATCCTTCTCGGACGCATTCGCGGACCGTGTATGTGCAGGGAGGGACGCAAGGTCGTAGACAGATCTCGAGATGGACAAGGTTTGGTCGGATATGAGGTGCAGTCGATATTTGGGGGGCGAGCCGCCAGCTGACGATTGTATTCGCTCCGAGAGGTAGGCGTGAAGTTGCTTCGCACGGGTGCTCTTGCCGGACGTCGGGAAGCCGGCTACAATGATGAGCTGGACAATTGTCAGTAAGCAACGGAAGCCATGGGGACGCGCGATTGGTGACTGACCGGCATGGTAGCTGGAGTAGAATAGGCGGAAATGACAGGCCTTTTGTATATTGGGAAGAACACAAGCGGCTGTCAATACGATGGTGTCTGCGCGTGGAGAGAGATGAGGTGTGTTGGTGGTGACGCTGACCTCTTTGCCCCTCCAAAAAAGCTCAGATTGAGCCCCACTGCTGGCACTGGGGACGCGGGGCAGACGCGAAAGGCAGAGCCTCAATGCCAAGCCTCCTAATGTATTAGCCCCTGGAATGGTGCGCCAGAACGACAATCCCCGTGGTCGTAACATCCAATACCAGTGCCAGTCGCGCCGGCACTGAGCATTGTGGTAACTTCGTTGTTGTAACTAACGCGGCCGCGCCAGCTGATTGGGGCCTTTGGCGCATTGACGCTCTTTCACTAACTCGTGCGCGCGCCTTAGAAAACTCGCAGCTGTTTTCTGCCGCAGGGCTCTGACGCGGTTGAATTTCCAGAGCGTACTGAAAATGTTCCAAATTTCGATGGACTTTCGGTCCATGCTTCGCGTTTAGTGCTACTCTCGTGTGCCCGCAGCCACCAGTGACGCTCTCTTCACGATCGCTATGATCCTACTGAGTTTGCCACCATCGAGCTGTGATGCAATCAAATAATGTTTGATTCATCCCAGATGTCAGGGCGATTACGATGGCGAGACTACGTCTGCAAAGGGCAAGTTAGTCTTCCGAACTGATGACTGGAAGAAACCACAAGCCCGTGTAGGTATCGTCAGCAATGGGCATCACGAGGGTCTCGACGTTAGGAAGGAGATCAGGCTCTGTTAGGTGCACGGCAGAATGCTATCGAACCAAGACCGCGGCCAACGCCCCTCCTCCTTCCCTCTACAGACAGCTAGATCCAGGAAATCCGAGTTCAATGGGTGTTACCAAGCGACCCTGGCGATCGGCCCGCCAGGAAACGTCCTGACGAGCAGTTTTCTGATTTCATCCATGAACAGTATCGCAAGTGCCAAGGGTATCGGAATGAACCAGAACTCGATCGGCACAGCCGCCGTGTTGAAGAGGCTCTGGATACCGGGCACCTCGGTCACAAAGACGGCAATCGCCAGGCTGATCAGCATACTCACGACCAACCAGGGGTTTCGTCTCGGCTTCGTCACCGGATCGGCTTGCACAAGGCTTAGGCGGCGGTTGCGCACGGCCAGGATGTTACCCCACTGCAGGATAACAAGCGTGACAAAGTAGACGCACTGGCCGACGTTATTAAAGTGGGTGAGCTGATCCTGGGTGTACCCGCGATATCCCTCCGAATAGCCTTCGAAGAGGAAAAAGAGCTCACTGACGGGCATGCCAGCATAGCGCCACAAGTACAGGAAGAACATGGAATGTGCGATGCAAGTCTCCATGAAGCCTGTGAACAGGTAGGCTTGGATATAGATTTTGGCCGTGATGAGATGGTCACGTTTGTGGTTGCGAGGTGGTAGTGATAGAAGGTCGAACTCGGCCTTCTCCATGATGATTGAGAGAGAGAGGAAAAGGTCGGTAAAGACGCAGATGATAATCATGAGAAACGACGACAGGGGCAGCGGCACGCCAAAGAAGACGTTGGCAATGACTGGCCAGATTTCTGACCAGCTGCCTGCCGGCAGGAGATAGGAAATGACCTTTTGGAGGTTCTGGAACACAAGACGACCAAGCCGGATGGCGTCAATGATGGAGTCGAACTTATCCATGAGGATGAGATCTGCTGCCTCAATTGCAACGTCGCTACCGGTGATCACAGCTACGCCGACATCTGCAGCACGTAGAGCAGGTGCATCATTGACTCCGTCACCGGTGACGGCAACAACGTTGTCTCGCTCTCGAAATCTGACAGACCCCTTCCAGTTAGACACAAGGACTCGTTTTTTTTTTATCCACAGTCGTAGACCTAGCGGGAGGGGGGAGGCAAAATACGAAAGCGGTGGCTGTGAGTGGGATACATGGGTCATGGGATGAAAATGTATGACTTACTCGTTGACAATCCGCAATTTCTGCTCTGGTGTCGTGCGTGCGAATACGATCTCTTCATATTCACAAATAGCATTCCAGTCCTCGTCAGTCAAACCTGGGAGTTCTTTGCCCTCAATCAGAAGGCTACGGCCTTCTCCATCCAACCGTTTCTCCCTGAGCTCTGTCGAGTGTGCAGCTGGATCAGCTCTGAGGCTCTGCACGTCATCTATGTGGGCGTCCTGAGAGAAGATTCCTATGGATCGGGCGATAGCCGCAGCAGTGAGACCGTAGTCACCAGTCACCATGAAGAAGCGAGCACCGGCTCTGCGGCACTCGGAGACAGTCCTCATAGCCTCAGGGCGCGGGGGGTCGATAATGCCGAGAATTCCAATGATCGTCAGTCCCTCAAGCGCTTTGGCAGCCACCTCGTCACTGAAGCTGTTGGTTCCTGGGGCGTTGACGGGGGACATTGTCTTCTCACAAAGCATGATGACTCTTTCGGCGTTACTGGACAGTTGGTCCTGGATGGCCTTGATGGAGCTGCGGATCGCACCGTCAAGTGGATGGACCGAGGCCGTCTTTGAAGACCAATATTTGGTACAAGCAGGGAACAGAACATCGGGAGCACCCTTGACATAGACTTGGTAGTGACCAGATTTCTCGTTCAGACCGCGACTGCCATTGACCATTGTCAACATCCATTTATTTTTCGAGTTGAACGGAATTTGGAATATCTTCTGCATATCGTCCTTGGCGTGGTTTTCGACGAGGGCGGTGAATCGCAGAAGTGCCGCGTCCGTTGCATTGCCTTGCACTTTTCGCTCACTGGGCAGTAGATGTTGTGTTGTCACGTCAAAAGTGGCGTCGTTGCAGAGAGACGCAGCTGCGTGGAGTCTGGACATGTGTGCAGCGGCCTCGTCTTGCTTCTTCAAGGCCTCCTGGACGTCTTTAGGGGATGATACGTCGTCCGCGAAAGCGACTGATGCCACAGACATGACGTTCTGAGTAAGAGTGCCGGTCTTGTCAGAACATATAACATTGACGCAGCCTAGTGTCTCCACAGTGGATAATCCTTTGGGCAGTATGTTGCTAGCTTTCATGCGCCGTGCGACCATCATTAGAGTCAACGAGACAGCAATGGGCATGCCTTCAGGAATAAAAGCGACAACACAACCCATGACGTTGTTCAGCATGGCTACCACAGTCATGTACGAAGGGTGATCGCGGCGTAGCCAGAAAGTCCATGTCAGGGCGATCAACAGAGCGAGCACAATTGTGAGGACGACGATGATCCTTACAAATCGCCAAATCTCCTTTTGAATGAGCGTAGGGACATCCTTGGCGTCGGCCATACCTTGTGCGATACGGCCCATGACCGAACGGCTGCCGGTGAGCACCACAATGCCCCTGCCACTGCCATTGACAACCAGAGTGCCCATAAGAGCGATGTTTCGGCTCTCAAGAAAGTTGCTATCGGTTCCATTGATTGCTCCCTCGATTTCGTCGGGTTCGCCCGTGAGCATCGATCGGTCGAAACGTATGTCTCCGGAGTGCTGCAAGAGTCGGAGGTCGGCTGGGACTTTGCAGCCCATGGACAACTCCACGATGTCTCCGGCAACGAGTTCAGTGGCCGGTAGACTAATGAGCTTGCCATCTCGGAAGACGTGTGTCTCTGAAGGCAGCAAGTCCACAATGGATTTCATGGTACGCGAGGTAGACCAATCTTGGAAAGCATTGAAAGAAGCTTGAAGCATAATCACGATAAGTACCAGGATGGCGAGCGCAAGATTGGTGGGTGAAGGAGGGTTGCTCAACGGTTGCCAGCAGATGAAAAAGATGATAACGCCGATCCAAAGAATGGAACAAAAACCACCAAAGACGTAGAAAAACAGCTTTTTGAGGTAGTTGACTCTCGGCTGCGGCAGAGTATTCCTGCCGTCACGCTGAAGCCTCGTGGCTGCAGCATTGTCGGAGAGACCCTGATCGGCTGCCACATTCAGTTGCTGGCATATCTGCTCCTTGTCGAGTTCATGGTATGTCAGATTCGCAAAGTAGTCTTCAGCCCGTTTCCTCGAATCTTTCAAGTCTTCCGACCCCTCGAGATCTTGGTGGCGAGACTCCGAAACATGGATGGAGAGAGTGCGGTATTCAATTTGGACGCCAGAGTAAGGGGATGTGGGCGGTATGCGACTCCGAGAGCTGCGGCTCGATCCACGGCTCATCGATCGAGCACGAGTTGCACTACGAGCGCCGCGATCAAGCCTCTCCCGTTCAGCACCACGCTCGCCATCTTCTTGGAAAGTGATGCGAAGATCGTTTTCGACCTCGTCCCCATTGCCTTCTTCCTTCATTGCAACGTCAGATGGATGACCCAGCGTCGAATCTTGTCGGAAAGAGCGATCAAGTCTACGGTTTGCGGCAGAAACATTGAGGCATCACCGCCGCAGGCTATTCTATATACCCATCCGGCGAGCTGACATGGGATCTGAGGGATTTGTTTTAGTCCAAAAAAAACCAGCATCAAATCTGCCCAAAGCCTTCCCTGATTGATCCCTGTGATTTCTCGCGTGTTGCTTCTTGCTGTAGACACACCCCGTCGCTGCCTCACGTGAGACGCGGGTCGTCGTACCAAGAGAACATGTTGGAACTTCTAGCAACAGCGAAACGAGCAGAGATTTGTAGTACCACGGGTACATTCTTGTAGGTACTATTGGTCATGTTGGCTAATTTTGATGATGTAGCCCCAAAAAGCTAATAGGTTGCACACCAGTCATGGGAATGTACGGACATTCTTATTAGGTAATTGGCTCAGGAAGGACACGCATGCATGTGCGGCAACACGGCCGGGCCGGGCAAAGCTTGACCTCGGAAACATCCACCTGAGGTGGGGCAGGGCATGCACTAGGTAGACGATCCCCCGGAATCGTTAGAAGGGAGGCCTCCAAGACCGCAAAGAATATGGTAACTCGATGGCAGATGTTTCGATACTGAACTATGCTTCGCACTGGTAGCGTAGTAGTTGGGCAGGTTATAGCTCTATCAGAACCAGTGATATATTATCATCATACACCAGTGCTAGTGATATATATACCGACCTTGCCACTCTAGCATTCAAGCACTCTGCCGTATCTAACCCGAATTACCTCAGATCGACTGTGATTTAGCCTTACAATTCCCGAGTAAGGGAGCGGAGAAACAAGAGTTCGTGGGGCCTCCTATTACGTGATGGAACCATGGGGGCATTGTGGGCGACTAGGGTTCAGCATCTTGCCTTGTTTGCTCCAAATATTACAAAGCACTAGGATATGCAATTGGCCCGATTGGCTGAAAGGAAAGAGCCTCTAAGGTATGTCCTTTCTTGATAAAAGTCGGGAAGTTCCCGTTTGATTTCAAATACCGTTTGAAGCCAGAACCTACGAAAAAAAGCACCCCGTGCTGCTGTATAGTAAATTTAATATTTATCACCAAGTTTGTGATACCGGACACTTCACATTTGAACGCGCCACGCAGTGGCTGTTGGCATTGTGGCTGTCACCACAGTACCCTGTTTCTCTATTAGGGCCTGAAAAATCCTCTAACCTCAGCCCTACAAATGGGCTGGGGAATTCCGTGCCTTCAATATTTTGCATGTTAACACACCCCGGGTTATACCAAGCATGGATGATGTAGCATAGATAGGTGTGCCAGCCGAGACATAGAAAACCAGACAAGCTAGTGCCGTGGTAAACACTAATAACTCTAGCAGAAACGGATACCAGAAATCCGCACTCGCACTATAACCGCTTGCATCGCCGAATGACCACGTTTGATGACGGATGTGATTATCTTGAATTGTTCCTGGCCGAAGGAAGTACATCGTGAACAGATTACAATCGACAGGCCACAATCTATCAAGCCGATTTCGACACCAGCCATCAGAAAGGTGTGACGTCAGGGGCTCAAAGCTGCGCCGTACCTAAAGCACTGCTGGCATAGAGTAAATCCAGGTGCAAAAATATGGGATGACTTAGTTTCGGAATTTTGCAAACCTCAAAGTCAACTACCCTTTCAATCTCCCACTTGGGTACGTGTTGCGAGGTTGACTTATGCTACTTGTTCATTCATATTATACAGGTCGGTGGTTAAAGCTCATAGGTTGTATTGAATTTGATCGTTGCCAAATTGATATGTGAGATAAAATTCACAAAGTACTTTGAATACGATGATCCAGTCCATTTAGGTATTTTATATGAATAACATCGGGGCCTGATTGGTGCTAGCTATATGCTCAACCATTCTGATATCTGGCACTACCTACGCCTCCTCATGATGGCGGTGTGCCAAGTGCCGCTTGTGTGTAGTCTACTTTAGTGGCTGAGATCCGTCGAAGTCGGCTGAAATGTAGGCAAGTCAACCGAGGCCTCCAAATATATCATAAGAGAATTGACGGAGCGGGATTCGGGTAGATTCAGTTCATTGTGGTAGAGAAGGGGTAGCCTCTTCTAAAATCACCTCCTCAAATGTAACATAGCAATCTAAACTGCAGCTGAAGAATAATGAGCATAGGTGTTCCAGACACCTTCCAGTAGATATCTGATTCTGTTACTGGTTGCAAGTCTCCGCCTCGTGTAACATTTGCGTTCTACAGTGTCCCAATCTCAGTGATGCTATCATAATTGGTCCATCTTACGATCGACTACAGCAGCACAAGATTGATATTTTCGTGCGAACACCAAGGTAGTATAACCGAGCATTGTTTGACAAGATACGACAAAATCATGGTAAGAAAAAGGATTCCAGGTGAGCAAAGATAATTAAAACTCTACAGATGCAACTATTCAAGTAAATTTAAGTAATCTGAAGATAAAAATAATAAGACCGAAGTATTGGTGAAGTTGTGTAATTGGAAAACTATCCGAGGGACGTTGATCTGAATCGACTTATGCCAATTGGGCAGCAACAGCGGCTACAACGAGAAGCATCGGTGCCACGAAGCGGCTCGTGATAGAGCCACTACTAACTTGGGCTGGATCCTTTGCGGACTGCGAGGCTCCATTGTTTCCATCAGCTGCAGGTACTGAAGTTTGCTTGCTTGGCGCTGCGGACTCTGCATAATTCTGAGATTCGTTGGCAGGGATTTGTGCAGGTGATTTGGTTGCAGGCTTCGTGGCAACAGGATCTGCAGATTGTCCGACGGTACCAGCGTGGCTGCCACCTGGGTAGGCGGCACTTTTCGCTTCAGTGCCCACGGCCGCAGATACAGCTGGGCCGGCTGGGGAGGGATGGGGGTTCACCGTCTGACTGTCGTGATAAGTTGCTCCACCGGTCGGGCAGGTGATAACAGTAGTCACTGGTTTATCGCCGCAGGCATGACAAACTGCTTCGCTGGTTGTGAAACCGTATGGAATAGAAGTCGGTGTTGGCCAAGGCAGCAACGTGGACATACCAACGTAGGTTTCCGTGATCGTATAAGGCTGATCAGAGACTCCTGTTGGGCAAAGTATCGGATAAGCAGTGGTGTAAACGCTTGTGGTTGTGCATGTTGGACACCCGCAGTCGCATGGTGGCATTGTGTAGGCGCAGGTGCCATGCTCTGCTGGGGGGGTAATGATAGCACCAGCCGTCGTAGCTGCATTGGTCTCATAGGCATCATCGCCATCATCGCACTCGGTGACCACAGCTTCGATATATGAGAAAGCCTCTGCGCTTCCTAAGCTAGCGAATCTGCCAAGCGCAGTGAGCGCCAAAAGAACGCGATGCTTCATACTGATGATATTGCCAGATCCAAAGATGGTTTGTATGTGTAAAGAATGGAAGCTGTGAGCAGGATTGTTCTACTCATATGCAGAAAGGAGACCGGGTCACAGGAACCGAAGTTGTCGGCTTGTCGGGAATAGGTGCACACAATGTGGCTTTAGTATCTGCGTATATACCGATCCACGCTCTAGAATGTTAGTTGAGCCTGATTCAGCCCGTAAGACAGTCGGAAATTAGTTGGCGGCAAAGACGAGGCCAGTGGCGGCTCTTTTGCCAATAGAAGTAAATAAATTTAAGACACGAGGAGAGCAATTACTTCCACGTTCTACGGATGTCTACGAACAGACGTCCCGCCAATGATCATATTTACTTAGGCCTATGGAAATCCGCCGTCCTCTTGGCTCGTGAGCTTGCCATGAAGGTCGAACTTGGTTATCACAAAATGTCCAAAAAATGGTTACGTTATAGCCTGAAGAATAGAAGTGGACCCAACCTCGATTAAGAATCTAGTAGAGTTTTGCGCTATAAATAGAGTTTAGATGGTTCATTGGTGATCAAACAACGTCCATTAGCGTCAGGGGAACTGCAGCCGCCACCCGCTCTTCATCCGCCAATGGCTAGCTACCAAACCATACTTGCATGTTCAAGCTACTCTGAGACCTTTCACGCTTTGACTTAACCATTGCCTCAAATAGAAAAAAAAGTCTGGCAGGCACTAGTACGGTGGCTTAGTAGACCGACTACCCCTCGGCCCGCAGCTGCCCGATCGGGCGCGCAATTGAGGTTGACCGACTCATGGTCCAATATTGCAGCGAGACACACATTGTCTTTGTCGTCAGCTTTCATCATTAGCTCAAAAAGATGTTGCATTTCTTGCTTTTATGTCTTTAATGTGTATGCTTCGTAAAGGAGAAGAAGGTCCCAATTGTTTAAGAATAGTTTCACACTTGAACCTTCATATGATCACGTGTACTCAAGTGGATTTCAGTAGATTATACATAGTCAGCAATAGATATATTTTAGGTACGGGAGGTTCCCGTCTTGTAAGGAACTGCATACTCCTAAGGCTCAGCATCGCTCATCATTCGTTTACGAGCAATGCATAACATTCTTTTGTTGGCACTCTGTGCTGTCCCTGTGCTAACGGGAGCAGTGCAACAAAGCCCGAACCGCCAGGCACACAGAGCTGCAAGAGTGCTCCAGCGTGGAGAGGACTCCAAGAAGCAATGTCACGTGCGTACAGTCACCTACTTGACAAGGTATCAACCGGCAGTTACGGAGACTGCCACGGATGATTTCGCTCATTACCCTGCCATAACTGTGAACCCTCCCGAGAACGGTAGGCGAACGTTGACAATCGTACATGTTGAACTTTGATTAACGGATTCAGGATATGGCCATGGATCACCACCCCCAGGAAAGTCAGAGGGGCATTATGGAAGCTCTCAAACTGAAGCGCACGGCTATCCCATTGACCCTTATCCCACTGAGGGGTCCGAATATCCGCATGATGGAGAGTATCCTGTACACACTGGCATTTACTCCAACAGTCCTTACCCTGACAATGGCCATTCCGCGAACCCTCCCTACAGCACCCAAAGCAATGGTGGAATTAGCACCGAGTATAATACCGAACCGTACCCTACTAGTGGTGGCAATGTGTATCCCACTAGTGGAAATGGTGAAGGGCCTGGGGTTACCTCCACGGTCGAGGAGACTTTTCCTTCCTTGACGCAAACTGCGACGTTCACTACTTCCGTCCCCGTCACTTTCACTACTACACTCACTTTCACCACGGCCGTACCTACCACGATCATTAACAATAGCACGGCAACTGTGACTTCATTTTCCATCTCCACGCTCACGAGTGTATCAACATTCACGACCGTCTCGTCGCTGACTCTGAGTGCTACTGTCACATCGGTTGTCACAAACGAGCCTACCTTTACGACCACTGCCACGCCCCCTACTGAAACACTTTCTTCGACTGAGTCTGTGTCTGTCACCGAAACCCTTACCTCCAGCCAGTCTAGTGGAACCGAATCACCGGGCACTGGAACGTCTTCGAGTGATCAATCAGCCTCAGCGACGTTTTCCAGCACAGAAAACGCCACCACTCAGCCACCAACAACCCTTGGGCCTAGCTCAACTCCGTCGTCAAGTGGAAGTTCAACCAGCACCGGAAGCCCTTTCTCCACAGGGACCGTCAGTCCTCTTGAGACGTTTCCCTTATTTGGATCAGATACTGGGTTGGGAAATGCCGCCGATGGTTTCCAGTTGCAGCCTCAATCCAGTGGTAGCAACAATTCCCTAGCTATCTTTAGCCCATCGTCGTCTGTCTTTAGGTTCGGTATCGACCCTCTCACCGGTGAGCTCCGGGCGTTTCCTCCGAACAGCAATGGTGTTAGCGATCTAAAGGTTTGTTGCACGTATGCCTCGAATGGAAGAGCTCTGGATCCTGCTACTTGTTCTGTTTCAACCTGCAGTCTAGGAGGTGCTGTTACAGCACCACTGCAGTGCTCTTTGGTCACAAGTAGTCTTACACTGAGTTGCTCTCTCAGCGCTACCTCTATTGGGGCTGTTTATGGAGTCACACAAATTATTCCTCTTCTCGACGGGACCTTTCAACTTGGCGTGGGCCTCACCTTGGGTCTTGGAAACAGCCCAGTCGTCATTGGTAGGAATCCTCCGGCAACTGGGTCTACGACCAGCACTGCCCGTTCCACTTCTGTGCCTCCTACGAATATTGTGTCATCGTCGGCACCGACAATTTCGCCCACGACGACTACGCAAAGCTCTATATCATCGCAGAGTACTAGCTCTCCCAGTTCTCCTGTCAACACTGCTACCGGCAGCAGCTCTAATACCAATACTGGTGTCTCCAGCAGTACGACTCAAGCCTCAACATCTAGGACTACGTCCTCCACGAGCACTGGAACGACAACTACTGGTCCGCTACCCACGTTCCCCATCTTTGCAGCAGACAGCGGCACTACTGCAGATGGTCTCCAGCTGCAGCCTCAATCCGGTAACAGCGGGCCTGCCATTTTTGGTTCGGCCTCAACGGCTGTGACGTATAGCCTGGATCCGACCACCGGAGAAGTAATTGCACATGGTAGCAATGGTGACCAGAAGATTTGCTGTACTTATGCGAACGGCGGCAGCCGACTTGATCCGGCCACCTGCTCGATAGGAACGTGCTCCTTGGGCGGTAGTACTGTTGCTCCTTTGGTTTGCAATTCTGTTGTCAGTCCCTTGGGGGCAGCCCTCGCGTGTTCTTTAGACGCCACCTCAGTTGGTGCCGTTTATGGAGCCCTCCAGGTTGTTCCACTTCCAGACGGCACCTATCAGCTTGCTGTGGGTAGTACTGTTCAGTTGGGCAATGCGCCAGTTGTATTGAGTTTAGTCCCAGTCGGACCATCGTCATCAACAAGGCCTACTACGGCTCCTACAAGTAGTACTGTCCCTAGCTCGAGTATCACATCACCATCGACCACCGTTGCCACATCTCAGAGCACGGGTTCTGGTACTAGTACTTCATCGGTTGCTCCTCTTCCGACGTTTCCCATTTTTGCCGGAGACACTGGCATCAGTGCCGCTGACGGATTATCACTTCAACCGCAATCGAATAATGCCGGTGGATCTTTGGCGATATTCGGTTCTGCAGCCGCGGCAGTAACATATAGTCTGGATCCTGTCACAGGCCAGGTCATTGTTTCTCCTGATGTGAACGGCAACCGAGATATCTGCTGTACGTATGCCAACAATCTGGGCGCTATCAACCCGGCGGCCTGCTCTATAGCCACCTGTCGTCTCGGAGATGCAGGCACTGCACCGCTACAATGCAGCCCTGTAGCCGGAAGCACTGGCGTGTTGAGTTGTTTCTTGAATGCTACCTCGATCGGCGAGGTGTACCGAATTCCCCAAATCGCCGCTTTGGGGGATGGTACTTATCAACTTCAAATTGGCGCAACCCTTGCTGTCAATAACTCACCAGTCACTTTACTCACAGTCAGCCCCATTCAGACGTCTACAAGTGGCCCAACGACTACCAACACCGGAGTTAGTAGTACTAGTGGTCCTACGACTACCAGCCGCGAACCTTCCTCTGCTACATCTCAGGAGAGCAGCTCTCAGACTGGTACAGGAAGCCCGAGCACTACCGTGTCTACCAGCGGCCCGTCCTCGTCTGTTCCATCACAGGGTGGCAGCTCCACTCGTGAGACTTCAACATCTGAAGGCGCTAGCTCCAGCGGCAGCACCACTTCCCCCGTCGGTCCTCAACAGACATTCCCCATTTTCTCCGGCGACACTGGTATAGGAGCTGATGGGCTACAACTGCAGCCTCAGACTGGAGGTGCTGGATCTCCGATTATCTTTGTTGATCCGAATTCGCCAGGCAGCTCTCCCACGTCGTTCACCTTGGATCCTGCTACCGGGGAGCTCGGTGTCGCAACCGGAAGTGGTGGCACCCAGGACATATGCTGTACATACGCTAATAACGGGGTGCCGTTAGTTCCAGCAACGTGTACTGTATCTACTTGCGTTCTCGGGGATCCTTCGACTGCGCCTCTCCAATGCACAGCCAGTGGCAATCGTCTGGATTGCTCTCTGAACGCAACCTCGATTGGTGCTGAGTACACAACGCCCCAGATCATACCGCTCAGCAATGGCACTTACCAACTGGCAATTGGTCCAACTGTTGCCCCGGGGAATGCACCCGTTAGTCTTACAACAAGCAGACCTACGACCACATCGTCGGCGTCTAGCGTTCCCACTCAAAGTACTTCTGGTCTTACAACGGCTACCAGTACTACTGGGCAAGTCTCATCATCTGAAGCAACTTCGAACACGTCAGAGCGCTCTGAAAGCACAGGCACAACAGCTACCAGCAGCCCCGGTAGTGTGACTATTACCGAACCCACTACGACTGCCCAAGCAAGCTCTACCGAATCGCAACCTTCTACTGGAACTACAACATCTACCAGTCCGTTGCAGACGTTCCCTCTATTTGCTTCCGACACAACGCCGAACGCAGCCGGTATTAATGCCGATGGCCTGCAGTTGCAACCGCAACTTGGTAGCTCTGCTCCCAACACCCCAGCGGTCTTCGGTTCGGGACCATCATCGGTTACGTACAGCTTGGATCCTACTACTGGGGAGGTTTTGGTAGCAGGGGACGGTGACAACCACCAGCTCTGCTGTGCATATGTTGTTACCGGTACTCAAGTGAACCCAGCGGCGTGTTCATTCTCGACATGTAATGCGAACGGTACAACTTCACCAGACGGTACCACTACGTTGCCGCTTCGATGCTTGTCTGTAGCTAGCACCGGAGTACTGGCAGGATGCTCGATTGATGCCACCTCGCCGGCTGGTACTCCATATGAATCACTACAGATCGCACCACTGGCCGATGGAACCTTCCAGCTGGAGGTCGGTACCGCTCTTGCGCCTGGCAACGCACCAGTGACGCTGGCCATTACAAAGCCTGTGTCTGGTTCATCCACAAGCAGCACTACTGCTGCCACGTCTAGCCCCGTTGGCACTAGCAATACAGCAGCCACGACTGGTGTCGTGACCAGCAGCTCGACCACTAATATTCTGCCTACTAGCAGTGAGGTCTCAACTACAACTCAAAGTTCTGAATCTGGCATCAGTTCCTCCTCTACTTCCGAAGGCTCGGGGAGTATCACTGGTAGTAGCACCACTAGTAGCACCACAAGCACGCGAGCTCCGCTTCAAACATTCCCTGTTTTTGCATCTGGCTCTGGTACTCCTGTAGATGGGCTCCAGCTCCAAGCTCAAGTTGCAGGAACCCTTGATCTGGCGATCTTCAGTTCACCAGACTCACCTACCGTCTTTGGCTTGGATCCTAACACAGGAGAGCTGTTGGTCGGGCCAACTGGCGACCAGGCAGTCTGTTGCACCTATGTCATCGGAGGTGTCGCTCAGGATCCCGCTCTCTGCTCTATTTCAACTTGCTCGCTAGGCGGCACAAGTGTTGCACCACTGCAGTGCACCGGCCCAACTACGGACGGCGTGCTTAACTGCTTGCTGAACGCTACTTCGTTGGGGGTCACTTACCCGGTGGTACAGGTGGCTCCTCTCGCCAATGGGACATTCCAGCTTGAAGTAGGCACAGTTGCCGCAGGCGGAAACGCTGCAATCGTACTGACCACGATTCGACCAACCCCAACGACGAGCAGTTCTATTGCAACTTCCAGTACAACTACTTCGGAGACCAACACGAGTTCTCGAATTACTTCGGCTACGTCCAGTACCGTGGTTTCAAGCACTGTCTCATCGACATCTACAACTGCGTCCGCAGCACCAACGTTCCCCGTTTTCGCAGTTGATAGTGGCACAATTGCAGATGGGCTCTCGTTGCAGCCTCAAACTAATAACACCAACGGCGCGCCGGCCATCTTCAACCCACTCTTGACGTCACCCTTACAATACAGCATAAACCCAACAACCGGAGGTCTTGTTGTGGTCTCCCCCAACAATGGCAACCAGGATGTATGCTGCCAATATGCCAATGCCGGCGTCACGTTGAATCCAGCGCCTTGTTCTATCTCGATTTGCGAACTAGGGGCTGCTTCTGTCGCCCCCTTGCAATGCAGTCTTCCATCCAATGCTGGTGCACTGAGTTGCTCCCTTGTTGCTGCGGCAATTGGCCAAACGTACACGGACCTTCAAGTAAGCCCACTCGGTGATGGTACTTATCAATTGGAAATAGGTCTTGGATTGGCCACTGGCAACTCTCCAGTCACCCTTATCACTTTCGCACCAGCACCCACAACAAGCAGCTCCATGTCCGGCGGTATCAGCACAGGCTCTTCCTCCAGCACGACTGTCACTTCCAACACGGGTGCCACCTCTGAAACTGCTACTTTGACTACGCCAACCACTGCTGCTGGCTCTAGCACAAGCCTGACATCTAACACTGCCACTGCCTCTGAGACGTCGAATACGGCTACTTCTTCTGGCACCACTGGCTCTTCAGAAACAGCTACTCCTTCTAGCACGACTACATCATCAGAAACGGCAACTACTTCTAGCACGACTAGCTCATCTGAGACTGCTGCTCCTTCCAGCAGTAGCTCAAGTACCAGCACGGAATCGACTAGCACTACGACAACTACAACCGCAGGTCCATTGCAGACATTCCCAATTTTCGCCGCTGACACGACGGGCTCGATTGCAGTCGGCTTCCAGCTTCAGCCTCAATCCGGTTCCGCCATTAATACTCCAGCTATTTTCAGCTCGGCACCGTCTGATGTTACCTTTGGCTTGGATGCTACGGGTGAGGTCTTGGTTACCTCCAACGATCCCGCCAACCAGCAAATCTGCTGTACTTATGTCAACGGCACGGGGGCCCTTAACCCGGCTCTGTGTTCCTTCTCAACCTGTGCTTTGGGAGGTGCTACTGTTGCACCATTGCAATGTAGTTCTATATCTGCGGCTGGTGTTCTAACGGGCTGCGCACTCCAAGCCACGTCGATTGGAGCCACATACACAATCACTCAACTTGTGTCTCTAGGTGACGGGACATTCCAACTTGCCATTGGCGCAAATTTGGCAGTTGGGGCTTCTCCAGTAACGCTGGTGATATCTCAACCAACTGTAACTCCAACCTCTACTGGAGTCTCCAGTACCGAGAGTACTACACCTATCCTATCGAGTACCTCGGGACCATCCATCACTACGACCGGTGAAACATCTAGCACCAGTGTACCCGTGTCGACGAACACATCAGGGGCTTCTACTACGACAAGTAGCGGCACAAGCATCTCGGTCACTAGCACTAGCTCAGTATCAACAAGTGTCTCTGAGGGGTCTACTTCTACGAGCACCAGCACAAGCCTCTCAACCACAAGTAGCGGTACATCAGTCTCGACGAGCACGTCTGAGTCTACGAGCACCAGCACAAGCCCCTCATCCACTAGCATTTTGACCGTGTCTCCTACTACTGCATCGAACTCCACCAGTAGTGTGGTATCAAGCACGCAAACGTCAACTACGCTATCTACAAGCTCTTTGACGAATACTAGTGTCTCACTTCCGGAAAGTTTGACAGCAACATTTGTGTCAGTGACAACCGGTTCCACGGTCATTACAACAGATATATCATCTGTTGTTGTGTCAACCTCAAGCACCATTATCTCAGCGACCTCCACATCTGTTTCCACAACTGTCATACCCGACTCGACAGCAACGAGTACCGCTACCTCTGCTATCGAATCGACTTCCTCAACTGTCGTTGTTTCAACGTCAAGCAACATTATTACAGCTACCTCTACATCTCTTTCTACAACTGTCGTGCCTGACTCGACATCCACAAGCACTTCGATATCTTCATTCGAGACGACTTTGTCAACTGTTGTAGTTTCAACCTCGAGCACCATTATCTCGGCGACGTCCACGTCCGTTATTACATCTGTTGGGTCTGACACAACATTTACAAGTACTTCTCTGTCAACCTTCGTGACAACTTCATCTGCTATTGTCTCATCAACGACAGACATCGTCGTAACAGGCACTTCTACGTCCCTTGTCGCGTCTGTCCAGACGGGCTCAACATCCACAAGTACTTCGTTGTCAGTCATTGAAACTACTTCGTCCGCGGTAATCTCCTCGACGTCATCAGTCGTTGTTACACTCGAGTCTACGTCTCTTGTGACATCTGTCCTACCAGGGTCTACGTCTACTAGCACCTCTTTATCAGGCGTTGTGACAACTTCCTCATCTGTTATCACATCCACAGCAGTGGTCGTTAGTACAACAACTAGTTCATCTGTCATCAGCTCAACAAGCACGGCGACGTTCGCTTGTGGTACAGATGCTCCAGCATACTATATTGTGGACCGAGCACTTGTTCGCGAGGACTTTGTTTTCAGTGCACTTGGAGTTGTCACTGCCGCGTTTACCTTTCCCATTAATCTCGCTGTCGGAGATGGCAGTACTATTGATGCCCTGGGCTTTAATGTGGCAGATGGTTTCCTCTACGCCGCCATGGGCTCAGCTCCGTCAAGTTTGATCCGCATCTCAACGAACGACGGCTCCTACACCAACCTAGGCTCTCTAGGACTAACAGCCACGGCCGTAGCCGGCGTGGTGGACGAAAACGCCCAGTATTGGCTTACTGACGCGACGAATACACGTTGGACGCAAGTCGACCTTCTGCCAGGTTCTGCAACCTTCGGTCAAGTTGTGGCATCAGGTACAACGACCGCCCCATCTGCTGTTGTCAAGGATTGGGCGTATGTTGTGGGTACTGTCGGTGGCAACAACCTCTACGGTATATCGACTTCGTCCAATCTCTTCGGAATTGTCACTACAACACTTCAGAGGTTCAACCGTGCGACTCACACCTGGACAGCTGCACAAACATATGTGGGATTGGGCTTGTTGAACTACCAATCGGTTTTCGCCGGCGTCAATTCGGTATATGCAGCCGATTCCATCTCGGGCACAGTGTACAACTTTGCACTACCTGGCTCTGGACTTTCTCTCGTCGGCATTCCGATTGTAACTCTTGCTGGTGGGCCTACACTGGGTCTTGCTGATGGAGCCCGATGTGCACGGTCTTCCGGTATATAACCTGCAATCAATTGGTGTGCGAACGCTTTGTGGTGGTCAACTCTGCTCTGAGCTGATAGATTATCGAGCACCAGTTGCATGAGCTTACAGTCCACCGCAACTTGGACATGCCTCTTGTTTCTCTTTGTATCAAGTTTACCTTTTCTAAAATCGTAGTTTAATATAATTCTTAACTCTTACATTTTGACGACCGCTCACCCCCGTTTCACGTTTTACATTTACCTCCTTCGAGACTTAGGCTTGCATCCTTTCGTCCCAACGCAGATTGGTCCAGCTCCTTCTACCTCCCTTGCATTCCACTGCTGTACATGCATACTTGTAACATACGTATCAAGGATGCACATGTAAATAGATAACCCCTCGCGTTCCCGCCATTTTGGCTGCAGGCTTCCAGTTTCCAGGGACCTATTACATGGTTCCCTAGACCATCAACTTTCACATTGACTTCCCACCTACTCCAAGCATGTTGGCGAACTTGTTGCAGCTACCACTATCTTTGGCGTGGGGCCACCTCGCAGCGTTTGATGAATACAATAGACGCGGCGCAATAGGTTGTCATCCAGGTACTGCGCAAGCCCAAGTCAGATGAGATACCTCTTGCCATGGAGGATGATTCACTGATTCCACGGGTAGATCCGGTCTTCGCCGAGATGAACAAGAATCTTGGCAAACCGCCACTGATTGTTGATCTTCGGCCTATCAATAGCCCCATGGTCCTGGTTACAAGCCATGAGATTGCTGAGCTGCTAGCCAAGCCTTCAAGTCTCTTCCCAACCAGCGCTCCTAAGACAAGCCTGGATGATTTTCATCATGTAATTGGCACAAGATCAATTCTGGCTCCAGTAGGAGAGAATTGGAAAGCTCTTCGCAAGATATTCAATCCAGGGTTCTCGCTGCAGCACTTGTTTACACTACTGCCCGCCCGCGAAGGCAAAACTTCACTCTTCCGCGATCACCCCGAAAGACATGCGCGAACGGAGAACGTGTTTCCAATACAGCCTCTCGTTGTCAACCTTACATTTGACGTAATAGGGGCCGTGGTCATGCTTTGACGTTGAGGCGCAGCGTGCGGATAATCCAGGCGAAATGATTCAACTATCCAGTGAGCATCCCACTTTGCTACCTAGACGATAAAACGGCTTAAATCTCGGCGGTGATTAAGGAGACGTTGAGGATGCATCCGCCAGCTGCCACAGCACCCAATTCTCCACATTGCAGCAACCTTCAAGTACGTACTCCAGACGGTAGGATTCACTGCCTCAACAGGACTTTATTTATAACTGTGCCAGCGTTATTCATTTCGTTCAATTGTATATGGAGATACTGCCAAGCTCTTCATACCTGAGCGGTGGCTAGATAGCAAAAGTTCGGACTTCAGCAAAGTCCCCGCTAGTGCCTGGAGACCATTTGAGAGATGTCCCAGAAATTGCATTGGTCAGGAGTTTGCGAATATCTAAGTTCGAGTCATCATCGCTGTCGTTGCTCGTAAACATGACTTTGTCAAGGTTGGCCCAGGTGGACATGCCTCCAATCATATGGATCAGCCAATCCTGGACGATAATGTGCAATTCAAAGTCAAGTCAAAACTTTATAAGGTAGTAAGCTCGGGTTAATAAGGTCGCATGTATTTCGCTGAGACAATGCTACATAGACGAGACAGATCGCCACAAACCTCGTTGATGCAATGAGGATGAAGGTAAAACTAGCACCGGCTAAATCTTGCTCCGACACGCGCATTCCAAATATGGCATGAAACACTTTCAGAATGCCAGACTAGGATACTTCTGTCTGATAGAGTAGGACCTCTCATTTTTCTATCATGAATATTCGCACTAGGTGTTCACTTTTGAGGTTGACGGTAGTGTCATTCAATATTATCGTGACACTCTCCCTTCTGCTGATGTAGGACCATAAAGTCAAGACCATGACTTCAAACATTGTTGGTTATATCAGTAAACTAGCATTCTCTTAGCTGTGCAGAAGAACAGCAAGATTGACAGAAAGTACTATGGAGTATCCCTGATACGCTACAGGGCCTTGTTACACAAGTTGGGCCTACAAGTCCTTTCTCCTCAGCCCGTCAAACGGTCAAAGAGATTCTGCATCTTATTCTTTACTATTCAATGCACTCAGGTTGTATCAATCCCAAATTTTAAAGTATTGACTGCTTTTGTTACTCCGTCGTCCCCTTTCAGATTTCGAAATGTGAGTTCCCACCGATCTCGATTCTCCGACAAATACGGCATATCCACGCGCAAACTTGAGATCATTTCCTAATCTTGTATTCCTAAAGCCAATTAACTGTACAAGATATGACCTCGAACACGGGAGGGAGATTAGGCTGAAGGTACATTCAAGCCGCTCAATTATTCTGTTTCGTGTTGAGACGCCTTAAGTCAAATCAATTCCTACGGATAACCAGCGAGGTACCTTGCTTGGCATTCAATATTGCTTACATCGCGGCCGATGAAGGATTCTGCGAAATTGCTGTTTGGCGATGCATTGTACGGACCTTGCCATTTTGGAACGCGCTGGGCACGTAATTAGGGCGAGCTGCTCACCTAAATGCGGCCGCCCCAGAGGAGATAGTGGATTACTTCAGAATCTTACTATTTTCTGAACTCGACGCAGAGAGTCCATTGGTCTATCAGTGCTGATCTTTGGAACCCCCGATGACTGAATATGGAAAATTATTGTCATCTGCTCAGAAAAGAAACAATCCTACAGGGGCTGTTGGGCACATGAGTTCAGCTAACAGTCCTCACGGTTCTGGGATTGGGTCCGTGGTTTGCCCATTAGAATAAGCATAAAAGGCAGCGTAATTTCCCATGAAAACGTATTCTCAAGAGCACACACCCCAGGACATTATCCTTTTATCGCTTCTGTAACACTTCTTCCTGATCATCAATATTACCTCCAATATTACTTCCATAACAATGAACATTCTTTTGGCGGCCATTTTGGCACTTGCTACAGTTACTCTGGCCAACTTTGACCTCTATGTTGGCTCTCAGTCACATTTTCTTGAACCCGTGGTTTTCACTGTCTGGCAAATATTTGAGGCGGAGCCAGACTGCAGACAAGTCTGGGATACTGTTTATTATGAGGATTCAGAGGATGTGAGTGGGACCAAGGCTGGCGTTCGGTGCGAAGGCGATGGATGCCTTGGAGGCGCGGACCCAGTCGCTATCACTACTCTGGAAATGAATTTCCATGGAGAAGATCCCATCTACCACTGGAGTGAGTCTTCTTATGAGCCAAATAGCAGAACTTTGAGACGGATTCTCGCTATGTGTGAAGCTTGATTCTAATACGTTATCTCTTTAGCTATCTATAAGGACCGCAACTATGACATGATCGGCCTCGACGGCAAAGTCTATGGCAACTGTATCCTGTTCCCAGGGGATGATTATGAATGCATTGATCCTGTGATTGGCGCCTACTCAGGTGGACGGAAGTTCCGCTGCCTGACTGAATTCACCGCTGCACAAATCAATGATGCATAAGTGATACAAAGCAAAAACACGCAGTGCTGCTTTTGTATATGCGATAATCTGACATTGATTTGCGGCAGAGGGCCTGAGAGTCCTGGATGTGCTCCCGTTAGCGACAGTTATGGCTATGAGCACAGGTTACTTAAGACTGTCCATGTCGCCTCGAAATGAGTTCCAGAGACGAGATTTATAGTTGATGATTTCATTTCTATCCTGTTGAGTCTTAGTCTGCTTGTTTCAAGGTATTACGGCGGGGGATTTGGCTATGCCGTAGGACTACAGCGCTTATTTGATAAGTATGAATTGAACTACATACAAATTTTCCCTTTATTGAGGCCCACCTGTATTGAACTCGGGTTGGTGAGACGTGGTATAAAATCGTGGCTTGATAAGTTGTGGCTGTGCTTGTCGCGTTTCGTTTATTTGATTTCCCTCTTTTCCGTAGATTTTAATACACTATCGGAATTTCTACTTTTAGTTTTACGATTAGTCGGTTTTGCGACCGTCGATTTATACGTCTATTTTCGTTACACGAACAATGTACGTTCAATTCGTCAACACTAACGAGGAGGACTGCGTTGGCTGAGGTTGTGCTACTTGGGGAATATGGCCCAGGAGCACCACTCCAGTTTAGTATGTGTGAAGCATTTCCGTAATGCTTATGGGTTTTCCACTTGGTCTCAATCTGGTAAGCCACGGATCATAATATCCTTGTTAAGTGCAATTCAGGCGAAACATCTGGCGCGGTTCTTGTCAGTTCTGGTTCCTGCATTAGTTCCTCACTCTAGGAGTGTAGAAGTTACAGCACATTCAGGGCTGGAATATAGTGCGTATTCAACACTCAGTGCAGGTAAGCATATTGTAGAAGCCATAAATCTCGAGAATCTTGTCAGAAGACAGGCCTGTGGCCAGCATTTAGCAAGATTAATGATGTGAGAGAACAACTTTGAAAAGTTCGGCATTATTTCTTAGTCGTTGATGAGAATGCGATCTGCTCAGGACCTGTGGGAACCATCAAGCTACGTACTGTCCAAGACCGCTCTCCTACTTATCGACTACAAGAAAGCGCATATTGACAGGATTGAAGACCCTAAGAAAAGAGACAGAGTCGTCATCTCGACCAAAAAGCTCCTCGAGACTGCACGGGAAAACAATATCGCCATCGTACACTGCCTCATGGATACCATGTGCGACCCACCCACAATCAACAAAGGGACGGAAAAATGGCATTCAATGGTTAAAGCTCTGCTTATTACCAATCCCGACTCAGCAGAAGAGTACAGCGACTCCTCAATGACCGCTAACTCGAAAGTACTTTCCACCGAAATCCCGGATACAAGTCTATCCTGGTAACAGAGGGTATTCTACCGCTGTTGCGCGAGAAACTTGGAGTAGAATACCTAGGAATCAGCGGCATCACGACAAGCGGTCCTGTGCTTAGCAACGCAATGCATGCTACCGACCTCGATTTCGTGGTCACTGTCGTGGAGGAAGCCACCTGGGACCCCAACGAATAGGTACATCGAATGCTACTCGATTTGGTGATCCAGAATTTTGCTTGGTTGCCATCAGTGGAATATGCGGTTGGTTACATGGCGATTTAAATATTGTTTGTTCGTCTTTGTTGCTTTCATGAGGAAGTCAAATGACATTGACATTCCCGAGGAGCACGCAGGCCTATGTTGTCTTTCTTCTGCTTTTTGGTACCATCTCATACTAAATTCTTGACGCAATATTCAATCATAAAAATCTTTAGTGGCCATCGATATGTACTCCATCAGTAGTATAAACTAATTTGGTCTTATTCTAGTAAGAGAGCAAAAAGTTCGGCCCATGGGTGACTCTGCTAGGGGATTTGGCTCTGAAGGATGTAATAATACAGACGGGGTGACAAAGATAGAGGCAATTATCAAAGTCGACTGCTACATTGGACTGGCAGCCGCGGTCAGTTTGAGACCTTGGAAGCTTTCAACCTCAAAAATGTATCCAATACGCCGTGGCAGGCCTACAAATGCCCAACCTTCTCCATGAGCCCAATGTTTGATAGTGCACTGGGAAATTGTGGTGTGTACTCCACAGTGACGAATGGGTGGTAAACTCCCTGTCGGCAAGAGTTGGCGCGTAAGAATCGAAGACTTCCATTTTGCTTGTTGTGGCACCTACTCAAAACTACGGACTACAATAATGAGTCAACAAAGGTAGGGATGGCTGTTCCATAGTATACATGCTACGTTCTAACACCACAGGTTGCTGCATGCTAAGAAATCTCCTAGCGACTCGGCACCACGGTGTGGTTCTAGCTCGCCTGCTTAATAGACTGATGGCAGCATCCCGTGAGGAACATTATCTCCACCCGGGTTTTCAGGATCAAAGGCGATTTGGAACCCAGATCACGTCCAGAAAATGAAATCCGCCAGGGCAACGGAAGTTCCAGGCACCAGAGCAATTGTCGTTGCCCCAGCATCAATCACTATTTTGCCAGTATTGACCACCCAAGCTAGGGCCAAGTGAACATTCACCAGAAACCAGAATAAAAATAGAAAAACCAGAAGAAATTCATCTCAGATTGTAGTTTTTAACAACCCCCCCTCTCCCCCCCTTACTTTTTCTTTTTTCCAAACAATTGCATTCTCATTGAGTTCAATTGCACTGACTGCACCAATTACGTGCACATACGTGTATTTACCACTCTGCATCACCCGACAGCAAGACATTGGCGACAACATTCACAGACTGAGGTTTCTTCTCCTCTGGATCGATCCCAAAGCTATCTGTACCTCGAGGTCGTCATCTTCGATTTTCGTCGGATCCTCGCATACACGATTTTCTTCCCTATCTCTCCCCTGACCACACACAAAATGGGCTCCCCCAATAGCATGGCGCCCTTGGATCCTAACACCGGTCGACATCAGTACCCTGCTGACCGAAATCGCATCAATTTTCGGCCCAGCCGCCCGGACTTTGTGGCCGCTCGAAGACGATGCAACGATGCGCTCTCAAAATACAACGCTTTCACGGAGCGTTGTAGTGATGAGGAACGTGTTCGACTGTGGCTCAAGTTAGTGCTACACTTCAATGCCGTTGTTTGCTCACTGACTGTAGTTTATTAGCGTTGTCGACCCTGCAAGAGTTCGTCAAGGCCTTCCAAGATGTTTGAGATCTCAGATGCCGGACCCTGCTGTCGATCCTCGCGCCCATGATAAGGCGCTGATGGAGTATAGAGGCTGCTGCGTCACTGAGCCTAACGATGCTGCTGGATTCCACACGGAGAAGCTGGTCCTTGGTGAGCTTGGGATGAGCAACTCTGACAATTGCGTCATGGGGGAGGGTACAGCGAAGCTAGCCCAGCAGCGCATCATTCCAGACATCAAGCCCGGGATTTTGATGGAGTACGGGTTACGTGTGCGCATCCACCCAACCGTAGGCATCAACTACCATTGCACAATCATCGACTCACCTGTCGCTGATATTGACATCGGCCCGCATGTTTTGATTGGCCCCCACGTCAAGCTTTTCAGCGTCGGGCATTCTCTGGCCTCCGATGAAGCTGGAGATCGTACTGTCTACGCAGGCCCTATCACTATCGAGGCTGGCGTCTGGGTTGGTGGAAACTCCACAATTCTGTAAGAATCATCTATTCACCCTGAAAGGAAGTGTGTTAGCTAACATGAAACTAGCTCAGGCGTTACTATTGGTGAAGGCGCTGTCATTAGTGCTGGCAGCGTCGTTACAAAGGATATTCCCCCCTACAGTGTCGCAGTCGGCAGTCCCGCTCGAGTTCTGAGATACATCAACGCTGAGGAAGATGGTCCCCAGGCGGACGACTACGAAGCACAAACCCTCGTTGACGCTTTGATGGTCGGCGGCACAGGTGATCCGACGGGCGTTCAGGACGCCCTGACAGAAGCTCGCATCATTGGCAAGTACATGACGCCGCAGAACCAAGAGCTTTACAACAATATGCACCACTGAGACTGAACGTCTGGTAGACTACTTCTCAGCACGTTCATAAGGAGCAAGCACAGTCGAGTCAAGCTGGCTGCCCCCCCCAAAAAAAAAAAAAAAAAAAAAAAAGGAAGGAAGGGGGGGGGGGGGGGGGGGTGCTGCAGCGAAATGGTTGAGATACGAACTAGGGGTTTTTTGTTTTTCCAGGAAGAGAGAACAGTGGATATTGGTGCATTGATAGATTGCCACAGGTGCCAGACGACAGCTAGTTGTACATCACCAGTGGCAATAGGTAATACAGAAGATGATGCGATATGTCACGAGGTCTCCTGAGTCATCGCACGGGCTCTAAGTAGTATGGTTCATGACACATGTCAAGGGAGGAGCCGCCGAGAGATTTATAAGACGTACCCAAGACTCAAGTATACATCTCACAAAATTGTCCCCGCGTATAACGTAGGCAACGCGTTTCTTGCGCACACTAGGAACTAGGAGAGTGAGCTAACGTGGACTTGTTTCGCAACACAACCTCAATCTTTGCATCAGTTGTATGCGATTGCAGAACTGGGTACCGCCAAGTGCCCGTGAAAGTCTAGGTATGATTGATAGCTTGTTCTCATTTTATTAATAAATATGATACTTGTAGCAACGCTAACATAAGAAGCCTATGCTTCCGGTCGTCTATTTCATCCTCGTCAAATGCATGGCTCACATAAGCGTACCCTTGTTTTGCTTCCTGTCAACGCTGTAGTTTTTCCACATGGCAATAGCCGGGATGCCCAAGATGAGGCAGCAGGTAGCTGAGATGGAGTTATACTTTTGTGAGTATCCCCATGCATAATTGATGGCATTTCGGGTCTCGGATCCCATGGGATACAACATCTGAGATGCGGATCCACCAGCGTAAATGGTTGCCCAATCCGCCACAGATTCGGCCGGCAGGGTGCTTTGCAAGGCGTACGGGAAAGTGTTGGTATAAATGGCGGCAGCGACGGCATAGCCGATGGCGCCGCCGAGACCGGCAGACAGGTTGAGCACAGCCAGCATCATTGGGACACCGTCCCGGTCAGCAGCGGCCATAACAGCCATCTGCTCACCAATGACCAGCGTGCCGCCAGCGAACGCAATAAAGATCTGGCACATGACGATATAGCCGATGTTGGAATCCTGACCACGGAAACGGATCATGAGCCCAGCACCGAGGAACATGAGCGGCAGGCCGAAAAAGAGGCAGGTGTACTTGAAACGCTTGGTGTAGCGGATCCAAATGCCGAAAACAACACCCCAGAAGCACGAGCCAATGTTGTAGATCTGGGTCATATAACCGGTATTGGCGATGTTTAAATCGTAAACAACCTGAACGAAGTAGTAGAAGTACGTGTCCCAGGAATAGAAGCTGTAGTAGAGGACGGCTGCAAGAATGCAGGCCCCCAATACAGTGCGCTTCTTGAACAACTCCCAACGGATAAAGTGTGACTTGGTCCAGAATTTCTCCCACGCGGCAAAGACGAAGAACAAGAGAAACCCGATGACGACCATGACAATGAATGTCGCCGTATTATAGCTAGTTCGGCCATACGTGCTCATGCTGAAGGGAAGCAATAAGAGCACGAAGGCAGCAATCAGGAGCAAGGCGCCGATGATGTCGAACTCAACGAAATAATGCTTCGTCGACTGCCAGATCGTGCGGCCGCTACGCTCCTTTTTGAACAGGCCTTGCTTCTCAGCCTTCATCTGGAAGAACTTGAAGACAACAGCCAGCGGGGTGAAGACAAAGGTCATGATAATGGCAAAGGAGCCGACAGCCCAACGCCACGTAGTCATGGTCAGGAAGGACTGGGCGGCAAGCGGGCCAGTGAAGGCTGTGCAGATGAAAGGCGTGCTGACAAAGGCAAAGGCAAAGGCTCGGTTGCGGAGTCCAGAGGTGTCGGCAATGAAGACATCCATGATGAAATAGACGGCATCATAGCCGATCCAGTAGAGGACGTAGCCAGCGGCAAAGGAGTTGGCATCGCTGCAAGATGCAATAATGATAATTCCCACAAGGTAAATGAGCTCGAACACGAGGAAACCCTCGGCGCGGCCCCACAGGTTTAGCACCTTGGCGATGGGCAGCTTGAGCACGCTGCCGACAATGGCGGCCAGGATGTAGGCGGTGGAAATTTCTGGGGCGCTGGCAAAGTCCGCGTACGCGAGGTACATGACATTGCTCAAGATGGATTGCTGAAGGGCGAGCATGAAAAAGCAGATCCAAATCCTACAGAGGGTGTGTTAATGAGTGTCCCAAGTTGACTGGGATAGAGAATCCGCGCTATGCTCACCATGCGTAGGTCGCGTAAACGGCAGGTTTGGACCAGACAAGAGCTGCAGCCTCGGCCTTCTTCTGTCCGAGCTGTGCATCGGCGGTGACCGTGTCCGGATGTTCAATGATCTCCTTCTCGTTCCTCTCCTCGAGACTGAGGCGATCCGAGTTTGAATCGGAGACGGCGCCAGCCTCGGTCTTGCCCTCAGTCGCGGCTGGGCCCGATGTCGCAATGTCGTGGACGACAGCGCCATCTCTACGACCTCGCACGAGATCCAAGACACCGCCCATGGTGAAAATGGTAGATGAGTTCCAGCGAAGAATTGGCAGTGACCCTCGCGAAGGAATGAAGACGGCGGACGGTCCGCAATCGCATCCTCGAGGAAGATGCACGGCTCTTATAACGAATGAACCCTCGAAGCGCCATCCCGTCGATCCCGTCGGGCGATGCAACCCATGTCCAGCCCCACTGGCCACTTGCAGTGCAGTCTCGGATCTCGTCGAGTCGTTGCTGGCGCTGACTTGCATGCCTGTACAGACTAGGCCGTGAATGGGAAAGGCGACATGCGAGAGGATCAGATAACAGGCGTTGAATTTGCGGAGCAGGTCTTCTTGGGGCTTAGTGGACCGGCTTTACCAGGTGGCCGGGGTGATGCGGATATGAACCATTGGAAATCTCTGCCCACTGTTAACGTTAGATCATTGACCTACTATGTAAATGATCCGAGGCAAATTTTTCTCTCTTCAAACTAGCGGCTCGACGATGATGATATCCACCAGTCTAGAAGACGACCTTTTCGGGTTTCGAGGTCTGGTTGGCATCTAGACTTTTCAGGTCACCAGCGGTGTCATTGCGGGAGCCACCGGCTACGGCCTCGACTACGTAGCTGACCTCGGTTAAGCCAAGCCGTATCCGTCGCGCATCGATCGGGTCGGATCCGGACTTTTGGACACACGTTCCAGACATATTGTAACCCGTATGTATATATAATCTTCGGCCCTATCACTAAGCTTAAGTCGCCCGAGTTGGGATCAGCCTCCTCTGGATCAAAGCGCAGAAAGTGTCAGAATGCGGCCTCTGCACAGGCAGGACCCTTTGCGGTGGGCAACGTAACTTGGTGGGTGGGGCATGGAAGCTACGGTAGCTGGAGCTTTTCATTAGCCATTTCAGGCTTATCAGATCCGACCGAACGCGCCTCTTATTCCCTAGCTCCGCTACCAGCACAGCTGCTCCGACAGGTAAAGGCGGGGCCATTTCGGGCCACGCAACCACAATCCTGGGACGGCATCGCCGTAGAACCACTATTATGTAAACACGCCGGACCTCCCATCGTCTGGCCTGACTGGCTCTTCATCAAAAGCCCCTAACCACGGAGGTTTTCTAGTTCGCCCATTGGACGCGGGTTGCCACAGTCGCCTCGAGGATTGAATGTCGTTGCTGGTTGGGGATTCTTCCCGCCGTCCCGCAGTTCTAACGCAAAACAAAGTACCTCATTCGAACTTTGCCAATGTTTTGACAGTAGGAGGCGACATGGCTGTTCGGGCTGAACGAAATCGTCTGGTCCAGGAGCCAACGCAACACGAAGAGCACTTGTTTCTTGACTTTCATTCATCCATTCATACAAGCAAGCCGTGCTGCGGGATGTTTAGTATCAGTCACCCTTGTCACTCATCGTGTCGCTGGACGATATATGGATTTAGATCAGACTGTTTAAAAGACAGACAGATCATAGCTTCTCTCGCGAAACTGTCCCAGAAACTTTTAAGCGATTTCTTCAATTACCACATGCTGAGAGACGATATTGAGATACCGAAACATCAAATCATGCTTAGCTGCCCCCATAAGACCACAAGTAGGAATGAAAACATCGCCGAGTAATAACTAGCCTCTCAATGGACTTACTAAAATCTCGGAGGGTGATGTTGAGGGCGAAATGCGGTCGATGAAGCTCAGCTCAAACTACCAGCTGTATGATAGTCTGAGATATAGAAGACTGCGGGATACCATAGCAACTGCTTCCCTGAATGATGTCCGAACTGGAAGCCACCTCACGGAGTGTGTTAGACTCAAATTGACAACGAACAAAGAACCCAAGAAACCCGGAAGCACTATCTGAGTCATCTGACGACATCCAATCGTCCATTCTAACATGACGGCAGCCGAAGTCAGACTCGAGAGGACCAGGATGCATAGTGACCTGGACTGGTGCTCCAGGGCGACATTCCCAAACGATACACCGTCAGCCAACCTAGCCTTCTCGTCAGTGACGACACATTAGACATGCATTGGACGTTTACTAAAGTCGACGTATAAATGAACGGTCCCCAAACCGAATCAATGCTGATTAAGACCAAAAAGGGCGACGGTGTATAAAATCTACGAACAAGAGGTGAACAAAATAAACAAATAAAACCACAATTTGAACCACCACAAGTATAGCCATAGTTTGCTTAGCACACTCTTATACCTCATCTCATCATGCCGAGCTCAATAGGCTTAAAGCTAAAAACAATATCGGATTGCTTTTTAGGTTTGGCCCAAAACATGTATGGCGGTATATCTGCCGTGTTTCGGGGTTCATACTTTCTGACAGGGCAGTGCTCCATGATGAGGGTACCTCCTTTCATGGAGAATCGAACCCCTTGAGTACAGATCAGGGAGTACCCATGAGTGACACTATCCAGCGACATCTTGTTGAAGACACAGACATACCAGTTCGGCTTGCAGATGTGTTAGAATATGAAGAGTTTGAAATTCAATCTGTTATTTGGATTGCAGGAAACAAGCCTGACACGGAAATTAAGCATAATGAAAATGTTGTAGGCATAAGCGCAGTCAGTTCAGTAAGCTTATCAAAATAGAATCAAAAACATATTCCTTCAACTCCAGATTGACATATCAACACACATCACTTGCAAATAACGGAAGAAGGAAGTTTCGGGCATATGTTGAGCTCTCTCTTCACCGGACTCCTGGACCGTTCGCGGACTAGCAGCAATACAAAAAGGCGCTCAGACTTGCAGACTTCAGCCAAGAACATACCTAGACGTGATGGGCGACGTTTCAGACTCGAAATCCCCTTCGTGCACAGGCTTTAACAGAATTAACCAGGCAGACGGACAAATAATAACACTCTAATAATGAAGGCGAGTTTCCATCAAAGAGGACTTCCGGCCGCGCAAAGGCGCATGGTAGGCTCAAGAAAATTTTTACTAGGATCTGACTTCCATGAAGCATATATACATACGTAATCTTATCGAGCGTGGCAGGATGAATAGCATTAATGAGGTGCTCAAGGCACACGTTATGGGACGGTGAATCTGGGACTGAATGTAGTTTTTTTGTTTACACGTTCAACAAGCATAAAGTTCTCCTAAGGTTCAAAGCAAACATAATGGTCAGTGATCATTGGAAGATCAAAACAGGAGGCGATGAGTATGCTGTCACCTTAGCGGGCAGGGTTTTCCGAACCTTGGCGGCGGCGGTGGCTAGAAAGCTGATCGATTCGATGCAATCAAATGATTCACGCACGCAGATTTGGATAAGGAGGTATTCTCGCGTACACCAAAAGAGTATAAAGAGGTAATCATAAGGTCACTGTTGCCTGAGGCACTGTATAACGGGGGGAAAAAACCGCCTCGCTTATTTATGGCAGAGAGAGAGAGACCTCATACACGCAGTAAAGATTATGGGCTCGCTCCATAACGTACCTGAAGGGGCTCGTGATATGAAATGACATCATTAACTGTCCTCCTCTATATGGACAACGTTGTTGTATAATTCAAGCAAGGCAGAAGAAAGATTTACACTTGCTAGCCGAGAGATTGAACAGAAAGCTTAGGCTGTAACATGGACCAGTGGTGCGTAGAAATGGCAATAGTCAGTGTCTCAGAAGAGCAGTATCTGAGAACAACGGTACCTAGAGGTGTCACAATCGCCATATGGGTAGGAAATCTAAAACCTCCGCGAAACAAATATGAAGCCCAAAGCAGTGTTCATGACTAAAGAAGGCTTTTTGCCCTATATGAACATAGCCATGGCACAAAGCAGAAACTAGTATCAAAGAAGGCTTGCGATTTAAGCGGTTATAATATGTAGGTAATAATAGTAATTGCAATAATAAGATCTCTTGTTACTACTGAGTGCTTAGAAATACCGTGCTCGTCCTGGGCGCCATATGGACTTAGTATGGGAGCGGCATTTAAAATCGGTAGGGTGACTTTTCTTGCTTTGGGAATCTAAGTATTGCTTCTGTAGAAATAGCTAGGGTCTAGTAATATTCTTAATCAACCAATGATACAGAAGCAGAGGCCTCTGAAACTTTGCTATCAGCCGAGCACTTTTGCCGCCAGGAAACAACAGTGTCCTACGGCTTGACAATCCTAGCGCCATTTCAGTTCTCGATGTGGCACAGTTAATTTGCTAAGGTTCAACTCTGTGCCTTATGATCCAATATGCAGATACTTTGTTGGTACATTGTACTGATGTAATATCGGAATCGGTGGTGATCAGCTGCTGTTGCAAATATAAGAACCTATACTAGGGTATTAAATTTTAACTCAAAGTCAAATGAATCACAGTTGCAACAGACATGGATTGCGTTACATAGCATTTTAACCAATTGACACTTAATGATCACTGGACTGTGTGGGGCTTCGGCAAGTATTTAGGTTCAAGCCATAAACTTCAGATGATGCACTGCAACAAATCTACATCTCGGCACGTGGTATGTGCTAACGGCCTCTCCTGCATTCCGCGAATGACCTTTTCATTGCTAGAAGTCATTTGTAGGACAACAGGGTTTACGCGCATATACAATTATCGAACATCAAACCCCACCTCACCATGCACTAAAGTCTACTATTCATGGTTCGGAGGTTTGCTGACGGATTATACAAGGTTAGCTGTTTGATGAATAAATTACATGCAGCGTTGCGCCAGCAGTGAAAAGAATTCGCTACTCCATTGTGTTTCTTCTGAGGTCTTATTTATCTATTAATAGACAAAAAAAAAAAGGGCTGCCTAATACGTGCACCTCTTCGTCATCGTTAAAATGGCTCTTGTTGGAAAGGAATCTCGCATTGTTGAATTGGCTAACAAGATCAGCCATTCCGTCACTCAACTGCAGTCCGTTTTTGACGCTCAAGGTCTACCTCCACCCTCATTCGATGAGAACGCCATTATAACGATTCCCCGAGAAGGCGCTGAAGCTCAAGATGCTGTACTGGATGCCACAGCTGAGCTGCATGACTTGCTTCTGGAACCCACAACTCTGATCTTGAAGCATAGTGCGGTGAGTTTTGCAATCATAGGTTCCAGTATTGCGGCCCGTCTCATACTGACACGCAACTAGAACAACAGTGTAGGCAGCCTCGGTTTTGTCTCCCGCTTTGATATCCCAAACATGCTGCCCCTTGGTGGTCGCCTGACGTTTTCAGAAATCGCGGAGAAGACAGGGTTCAAGGAAAGTGTCGTGTCGCGGTTCATACGTGACTGTGTATGTATGCGCATTTTCTGCGAGCCTGAGCCAGGCGTCGTAGAGCATACCAAGGCGTCAAAGGCCCTCCGTGCCCCGTGGTTCTTGGCTTTCGTTAGGGCAGGCGCCGAGGAAGGATGGGGCACTATGTTCAAAGTGAGTTTCCTTTGGATCTTGAAGTCGAAAGGCTAACAGTATACTTCTTCTCTAGCTTGTGGAAGCACTTCAGAAATGGCCGAACTGCGAGGAACCAGACCAAACCGTAAGATTCAAAGCTACAGAACTTCGTCCAATGAAACTAACATCATGCATATGACAGGCTTTCAACATCATGAACAATACCACTGGATCATACTTTGAGAATGTGGCAAACGACCCAGCGAGGGCTGCCCGATTTGGGGCAGGAATCGCGATTCAGTGGGAATTCCCGGGATACCAGCTAGACTATCTCTTAGACGGCTATGACTGGGCCGCTCTGGGCCCCACCAAGATGATTGACTTAGGGGGATTCAAAGGCAGGATCTCCATCGCACTCGCTGAGCGATACCCCAACCTTGACATACTAATCCAGGATATGGGCATGAACAAGGATGAAGCCCATGCGGCTGTGCCAGACAAACTGAAAAGCCGCATCAATTTTATGACGCATGACATGTTTCAGACCCAAACTGTTGGCGCTGACGTCTACTACATTCGACAAGTGCTTCATGACTGGCCAGATAAGTACGGTATAAAGGTGTTGCGGGCACAGATTCCGGTTCTAAAGAAGGGTGCCCGAATCCTATTGAATGAATCTCTTCTACCTGAGGTTCCAGGTAGTTCTCTCCCTCTGTGGAAGGAGAGAGACTTGAGGTTTGTTGCCCCATTTCCTACATGAAACAAACCGCTAATAAATGTTTAGGACGATGGACATGGGACTGATTGCCACCATGAATGGTTCCGAGCGAACTTTGAACGAATGGAAGCGGATGGTTGCCGAGGCAGACCACCGATTCGTTGTCAAGCATGTGTTCCAACCTATTGGATCCATGTTGGCGATAATCGAAATCGTTTGGGAACCTTAAGTTCCCGTAGTCTAGATGATGGTCCGTCTGGCTCTTGATCCAGGAAGAATTCATGTTTTCTATTCTTATTTGCTTCCTCGCTCGGTAGATCAAAACCCTTGGCGTGAATACATTTCGTTCTTAGGCATCTTCAGATATTCTGGTTGAGTTACGATGTGAAAAATAACATTTCAAACCCAGTTTCCGTGGCCTGATCTTTAAGACGAGCAAAGTGTCTAGCCTGTACGTTGCGAGTCGTATGTTCGACATAGGCTGCGTAAGTAGCTTCATGCTGCAGCGATTACCACCACATTATGCAACATCCTCCAGCGTCTACTAACTATGAATTTCAATACCGGTTCTTGTAACCATTGGTTCTGGTCTTGATCTTTTTGCATCTACTCTATTCAAATGTGGAAATACAGAGCAGCGCGCTTAAACACTGTGGTGAATTCCTGCTAATCTGCACATCGCTGTGTCGTAATCATTTTATTTAGTGAAACTATAAATTTTACTGTTCCTAGGGAAGATCTGCGAATTGGCATATTGCTTCTGAGATTTCAGTTCGGCAGAATGTCTCCTGCATTCCTGCGTCTCACCAGAACTGAGGCTGTCAAATCCGTCAAACTATCGAAGCCATTATTCATCTGTTTTGGCTCGTAGTTATTTGGTAGCTTCCAATCGTATTTCAGAATGATATAGCTAAGGAGGATCTTGAGTTCCTGTGTGACATAGGTGCGGCCAGGGCATGCGTGCTTTCCAAAACCGAACCCAGTATGGTCGATGCTGACAGAAGAGAAGCCACAGAGACGGGCTACGTCGGATTTTTTCTTAGCCCGCTCGATAAAACGGTAAGCATTGAAGTCATCTGGGCTGGGGTATATGTTTGGGTCTCTCATGCTATTGGAAGAGATGGCTACAAATGAGCCTTGGGGCAATGTGATGCCATTGCTGAGGCTGATGTCTTTCAATACAGCGCGCTTATTGAATACTGCAGCTTTGGGTTAGTCACTCTATCGATACCGATGATATTAGCATGAATGTTGCAAGAAAGAAAAACCTACCCCTATTGATGGGCTTCAGCCGCTGAGACTCCTTCATCACGCTGTCCATGAGTTTTAGCTCGCTAAAGATCTCATACTTCCATCCATCGCGCGCGATAATGGTGGCAATTTCCGTTCTTAAGTCATCTACAACCTGAGCCTTGTCGCTCAGGTCGATCAATACTTGACAGAGATCGTCTGTGGTACTATGCATCGCCGCGACAGCGAATGTAAGCTGAGCAACAGCTGCATCATAGTGCTCACCTCGATATTTGGCCAACTCTTCGAACCAATCCAAAGAGTCACGGACATCTCGATCCTCTTCCTGATTTCGCTTCGACCGCACTGAGGCTATGATATTGCGGGCCTCTGTCAAGAGCTCTCGAGTTGCCCGGACCTTAGGATGAAAATGATGGATCACTGGTAGCAGATAGCGCGGCCACCATCGCAAAGCCATAACTGCGCCTAGACCTATGACGGTATATTGCGAGTTTATTTCAACCCATCGCTTGTTTTGAGAAAACTCTTCACCCAAGAAAGCACGCACTGAAACGCGGGCGACTGTACGCAACATTGTATCATACAGTGCCACACAATGCCAGTCTGGAAACATGCATCAGCAATGGCAAATCTCCCCGAAATTGGAATGGGTTCGTACAACCTTTCGAGTCACCCCAATGAGATTTTAAACAGGTGCTTGTCTCGGTTGATAGAGCACCAACAAGCTGCGCTACACTCCGAACTTCCATCAGAACAACATATTCCTTACATAAAGTCAACGGGGACCCACGCAGGGCACGATTGAGTCGCTTCGTAATAACATCGTGCATGAGCTGTCTATGGGTGCCTGCGAAAGCAAAAGCCTCCATTCCTGGGATAAAGCCCATAAGCTCCTTAGGGCCAGAGACCGGACGTTAGTGAAAGTACAGCCCAGAAGAACTCTCGAAATGTATTACAACCAACCGTATTTGTGTAAATTCCAGCAGAGAGACCGTTGTCCTCCCGGAGCTCTTGGGCATAGTGCGGTGCGAGGATGATCACTTCTCCTAGGTCTGTATCTACACGAAACCCATACTTGTTCTGACATGATTCTGGTTCAATAAGGCCATCGCCTCTCTTGGGGAATCGTCTTACCTTATCGAAACCTTTCCGCATCAAGGTCTTGAAATTGGCGATGAACTGACTACGCGCCTTAGAAGAGCAGAATCTCGTAAAGAGCCCATAATCTTGTGCAAGGGGTAAAGTGTAGACCTTCTGATAGTAATGCAGGCGGCGGAGGAGATTCCATATCAACGAGATTATGATAGACGCGCAAGCCACAAGCGCGGCAGTTTCTAACATGCTCGACAGCAACTGCATCTTATTATGATCCGCGTCGAAGTATCGCACACGGTCTCCAAGGAAGGATTTAGCAATGAGTCACTCAAAACTCGGTAGCACATCGAGAAGCTTTTCGTTCTTTCTTCCCCCCCTCCCCGGGGCCGGGAAAATACATCCACTCTTTGCGATTAAGGAGCTCAACTATGGTATGACGTAGTATAGCTCAGAACTTCAATTATTGTATATGGGTGATATCGAGCAATGCGGGAATAATGATGATCAAAAGCAAGGGCGTTGCCGCTATGCGGAGCCGAACAAGTAGCAAAGGCTATTGTGCGTTCCAGGCCATCCTATAGGCTCGGGATCAGCTGCCTCCTTGTAAGATTTCATTGCCTGGCATTGACAGGACCCACAGCTTGCGGGATCCGGGTTACGGTACATGCTACAAAGCACTCATGGAAACAGTACAGCAATCGAATCATGAGGGATGGGGAATAGTTCTTGACTTGCCGATATGCAAGTCGATTATGCACAAAGTACTCCACAGGTGCAGTCGAGTACTCAACGAGTATACGATGCTTCAGCAAAGTTAAATCGATACAGGGTTATAGACCTTAACAAGCCCGAAGGGAACAATGAAGTCGCAAGTCAGAATGCCAAGACTACCATGGTATGGAAAGGAACTGCCGGCATCTTGGCCACTTTCGATCAGGCCACCGTGGACCCCCCTGCACCTCTACCAACACCACTGCCGAAACTATCGCCAATACGTTTACCAAAAGTATCATCACGAATACAATGCCAAGATGAGATATATGGAGTTCGTTCTCGGATGGGACAAATACCAGTGCACAGACCAGACTTTCGTTTCGCAAGTGGGTGATGGGGCTGTATAGGGGGTTTAGGTGGGGCTCGCGCAGTTTGCCTGCCTTCGATTGGGCTAAAAACGGAACTGATAGTTAATCAATCCTTGGGCAGTAGATTATATCGGGTGGGTCTAGGAGAATCTATAAAATTGCTGACGTGACGATACAAATTGATATTGCTAATTTGACTCGACTAAGCAGCTAATGTAGCAGCGAAACTCAAAATGGTACACAAGGGTCTTGGTTATGACCGCCTCTACTTATCGGAAAATGGCTCAAACATGCCTGCGTGATGCAGCTTACCTGTCGCTGGTGTCAGTCTCACTGGGGTCAGTCTCCTCGTCTGGCGGCAATTGGTGGTGCCCCATCTTAGATATTCTGCATACGTTCCTGGGGCGCAATCCGAGCCATCATTTTCAGGGTTGTCCCAGATATCCGCCAAGCTCGAAGCCATGGAATCTTTCAGACCATGGCAGAATTTCATCAACAGCGTATTGGCGAGCATGTCCTTGACGAAATGTTCCGCCTCGGCACGTTGCGGTTCTGGGGCGTCGTATTGCGTTGTGAGAAGAGCAAACTGCCTGTAGCCATGAACTCCGTTCGCTGCTGGTAGTACCACATTTCCTGGAGGGCTGGAAGAAGGTAGGCCTTCTGATCGATCCATTCTCGCCCATTCCACCCGTCCTTCGTGTCCACCAAGTCACGAAGCCTCTCTAAACAATGTACTTGCGCTCCATAGTCCATAATGCTGTTCATTTTGGCGATTATCCCATGATTTTCGTTCATTATCAGCTTATCAGTAGGGGAACCATATGGCTTCAAGTGTCTCAGCAGAGGATGTTTGTGGAGGTCTGCGCAGTGGGTGGCGCCACCCCAGACATGCAGAAACGTTTCGTGCCATCGATAGATCAAATCGCAACGTTTTCGGCTCATCATCCATGTATTGATGATAGAAGTTTCTGCTGGGCGTGTTTCGTACGTGAAAGCTGCAAACTCAAACGGCTCTTCGGGATTCATCAAGATGCTCCACACATCGTCGAGAGAGCGTATCAGAATGGATCCGACATCAAGCCAGCAGCCACCATATAGAAACAGCAGCGGAAGTCTCACGAAGTCGGCCGAGTGCGTTGGAGCGTATGGGCCAACCATACGATTCTCTCTCATGGCAACTGGCAAGAAATTGGACGGTATGAAACGGTTTGCATGATTTGGCGAGCCCTCAACTCCGTCTAGAACCCGGATGGTCCAAGAAGGACCGAGCAGTCGGGCCCATTGTAGAACATTGCGCTGAGTCCAAGGCGGCATCGTAGCAAAGCCCGTGTGCCAATAGGCCCAGAGGTTTTTCTCGTCGCCTGTGGGCTCAACGAAAGTTCTCAATGAATTGGCAAGTTTCTCGTCGGTGCGCGTGTCCAACTCCGAGGATGGAACAGGAATAGTTCCAGGAGGAACGTCAAAGAATGGGGCCATATTTGACTGTTGATAATTTGAATTTGATGGAGAATTGATCCGGGTTCGATGGACATACGGCTTTTAGCCCTATTTATAATCAAACTCTACACCAGCAGATATAGTGAGAGTCCCACATAGTGCGAGCTATGGCTGGTTACAAGCAACACGCGTCGGCAATGTTGCCTAACCCCAGACAGTTTACGAGGCAGTCACTGCCACAGCGCAATGGGAAGGTTGAATTTAGATACCTCAGTTCCGATCTACACTCACATGCATGAACAAGCTTCTAAATGAAGGCGAAAGAGATCTGATTGATTGCAGTGAAAGCTAGACTGACTCATCCCAACCCAATGCTGGCTCAAGCCCCGGGGGGGCCCAGCAGATTGCCTGGGGGCTTCTAGCCAAAAACTACAATGCACCTTAATTCCATACTTTCTCTCTCCGCGTCATCGATGTGCTGAGGATCAATAAAGGATGAATGAACAGTCCGTCGAACCGGCCCTTCAGAGTCGAAATTCTTGAACAACAACACCTCATCAGGCTGTTGCGCGTATTTGAAATACCAACGATGATTTTGGTTCGGTCCTACAGCCCATCCCTCCTCTAGTAGGTCGTCTGCCTGAATGGGCATTGGAGCCAGGTCTGTTGCGTCAACCACGGAATGGGGGTTGGCACACGCAAAAGGGTCTTTGTAAATCGTTTTGACGGGTCGCCAGACCTAACAGATATAAAGATCAGTGACGAGAAAAGCGTGAGTAGAGAGGCTGAAAATTATTAAGTTGCACGAACGTTCATTATCGCAAAATGCCCACGGATGACCTTCTCTGCAAAGACTTTGTCTGGAAGTCGATCCAGCGCGATGACTTCTGCTCCATGGTACGACTGGTCGCAGTGGACAAAGTGACAAGGATTTTGCATTGGGATATTCTTGTCTTGATCAGGTTTGACCGGTCCGCGCGAGTTGTGCTCATAGACATAGACGTAAGAAGTGCCTGTCCTGTTGCAGTCATCAGCCAGATTCTGTGATGCCAAAGGATATTCCCATGATATGGCGGCTTACACCTTTTTAAGAAGCTCGATAGACTCAGGATAGTAGATAGCTTTTACTAGTTCGTCATTGGCAAAGTCCGCTTGCGACAATTTGCTTTCGTGGCGAAATATTTGGAACCCATGACTGTCAAGTGTGTATTTATCCAAATCGTGGCTGATGTCTTCTACAACGAAGGGAAGCGATACAGCCGGCTTCCTGTTGCCAGGTAGGTTTGCAATATTCTTTCTAAAAGAAGAGTATTAACAATTGGAATCCAGCGAATAGATCTTGAGTGGTCGACGCCTCTGAGACAGATCGTATATGATCAAGAAAACATTAAAGCTCACCGTTCTTCTTTTTCGGATGGAAACGAGACAGGGTCTGAAAAGCTTGGGTCAGTCAAGTCCATGTAGTGGAATGTTGTCTGAACATTATGGCGTTGGCATAGGGGAGTCGAGGCCATTGCTGAAGCATCAAACTGCTGTTCCTTCAGAGGATTTGTCTTCCTGTTCTTTCTTAGTTCCCAATTGATATGTCAGATACAGTGGTGGTCGACAAGTAGGTAAGTTGAAGGAATTGGTAGATGATCAGAGTTTACGATTTCAACCAAATACCACGTTACAGATGTGCACTTCTCCCCGAATGCCATGCACAAAGGTTACGAAACTCGCTTATCCCTCCTCTACATCGTATGATCAGCTGCGATTTTGCGTATCGTTATCTTAGGTTTGACTGACACATTGATTCCATTCCGCCCTAGATACAGATTCGGTGACCCGTGTGCTGGTACAATTGGCCCAACATTATTCCATGGCACTCTCGATAAACGCTGTACTGTCCCTGCAATAGACGCGTCTTGTGTTTGTACACACAGCACACAGAACTCAGAAGGCTTTCCATCAATTACCCTAGTCCAATAAGCCGACGCTTTCCCAACTATCAATTAACTTTACTCGGCAACGCAACACATCAGGCCATGGCAAACTTTGCAGACATATAGGTGGCAGGCTGGTATATAGCCAGATTTCCACGGTTATCTACTACCCTTGGTAACTTAGTACAGGTCTTCAATTGATTTTGGAATTAAGTTCATTGTGAATTACATCCCTGCAGACCACGGCACCTTAGCAGCTACCTGACTGGGACGCGTTCCGTAGCATCCGGACCAGGAGCCTGGCAGCCGCAGGTGATGAAGATTGATATCCCTGCAGATCACAGTGTTACAAACGTTGCAGCTTGTGATCTACCACTTATGCTTTGGCAACAACTACCGTACCTAGAATAGGAATGGTTTGCATCTTACCGCCAAGATCTGAATATGCCGATAGAGTCTATGCGAGAGTGCATATTTCCTCCCAGCTTGCACCCTTGTCCAATTCTGGAACGAATACCTCCACATCGCTTGCACCAAGGGCATATTTGGCATAGGGAGTTTTCGGGGTCGCTGACCTTCGGGCTCCCTCTGCAACTCCCAACGCGAGCGTCAGCAAGACAAGGCTGCCCTTCCCCATTTACCAAGCAATTATCACACCCTGGACTAATTGGCAACAAGGACTAAGCTTATACACAAGCAGTTGACAACCTGACAGGAGATTATTGCACGCTGTAGAATAAAACTTAATGGATATCATGATACTCTACATAGTCAACGGCAGTCTAGATGAGTTTGCTCGTGAATGATGAGATGTTCTGCGTGCCGTCAAAGGCCGCCCTATGATAAATACGTACTATGTGGCTGCCTGGTCCTCTATTGTAACTCTGATGCCCTTGCTGTCTAACCGAGGTAATGGGAGGAGAAAAGCACATGCAGGATCAGCGTCGGATGAGTCGGTCTCGTACAACTTCAATTGTGGCGCTCGAGGACTGAACAGAGCTGCGAATACAAGGCTGATTTCGGCGTACGCCAAACTGGAGTGATAGGTTGGTACTGTGCGCTAAGGATAAGGGCACTAGGGAACAGGACTCACTCAACTCCTAGACATCGCCGCGAGCCTTTGGTGAATGGTACATAGTTTCGGCGCATCTGCGGTGTCACATCCCCAAGCCATCGTTCTGGGCGATACTGCTGAGGGTCTTTGAAGACTTCAGAATCCATATGCATGAACCACGCAGACATGCCTACCGGCGTCTTTACTGACTTGTTATCAACAGAATCAGTCAAGTCAGTGGTCGTACTTACCCCAGCTGGTATGATCCAATCCTTGTATACCAAATCTACATTAGGCGAGACACGCGGTAAGCGATGAGTCAAACCAGGGCTGAGACGCAAAGCCTCCTTGATGCAGGCTTGGAGCCAGGGAAGTTGCTCTAACTCGGCAACGCTAGGTATCCGTTCTGGGAAATCTCTCATGGGTTCCCTGAGTTCATCCAGTAGTCGCTCATGGACGACGCGGTTTAACAAAATGTGCACCGCAAGAAAATCCATAGTGCGTGCTGTCGTAACAGTACCTGCTCCCATGATGACCTGCGCCTCTGAGGCCAACCGCTCAGTTGAAAGCTCGGACTCGGGCAGATCGCTGTGCACTAAATGGTCAAAGAGAGTCTCGCACTTCATTTTGTCTTCAGGGTCAACCAATACGCCCCCGTTTTCCTTTCGCCTCTTAGCATCGATGATGTGCTCAACCGACATCTAGTAATCTTGTGTATCAGCTTAAACTCTCGCTAATAGCGAGTGCGGGAGACTGACAATACGCCAATCACGAAACATCTGGCTGCGCGGGTCAAGCCGGACCAACAAAGATTTAGGAATCAATCTCACGACTCTACAAGAGATTGTCAGCCACTATATATCTCCAAGACGTATCATATCAAGATATACCCACTTTATGATAGAAACAAAGTTCATGAAAAGGGGCATGGAGCGAATTAGGGTATGAAACAGGTTGAACCTTCGATCTGTCAGCTTAGCTGTTGATAATGCTATGGAAGTTGGATTGAATCACCAATCAGGATTGAAATCCGGATGACGGAGGAACGAGATTGCAGGGCGTGTAACGCAAATTGTTTGGACAGCATCACCCGCCATAGCTGTAAATACATGATCAAGTCGGACAACTTGACCCGTACCCTTGAGTTCATTCAGGCGCTGGACTAAGATCACAACAAGTTCTTGAAGGCGAGGCTCTAGCCGTGTAACCCCTGTCTTCGAGAAAAATGGCTCCATGGGCTTCCGACGCAGCCTATGATGGTCATGATCAACTGTCATCCCGTGGGAGCCTAGATTATCTTTGTTAAGCTCTCAAATTCGGGGGCCGGTAAAGGTGCATCTTACCATTGAAGTCCATGCCATCTCCAAAACTCGCGTGCGCGTTCGTTCGTCGAATGGCTCCACCAACGTATAGTTTGTCATAATATTCGGAATCTTTGATGGAAAGCTCCTCCGGATTTACCCGGACAATGGGTCCTGTGATGAACAGTTACTTCTACCCTAACAGATTATCGTTCACTGTATATATATATATATATATGTGTGTGTGTGTGTGCATAGCTGAAGCTGGAAGGGGCAGCTCACCGTACTTTGCATGCATTCGATCAATCTCGTAGAGATATGCCCCTTTGCCAAAGTAGTCCCAAGCAACCTCATAGAGATGAGTGACCGCTGCAATCTTGGGGCCGGGAAACTTGGAAAGAGGATGAAGCCATAACCGATAAATGACCTTGGAAAGACCAACGAACACGATGAGTATGATCAACGCAGTCCACGGCGTCATCATGTCGCTTGGTTGAAAATCGCTGAAGATTGCACGGGCACGAAAGATTGTGTATTTGCCTTGTGTCACGATGCCGAGTGATAGTGGTTCAAGAGCGGCTAGTGGACATTTGGTTCGTTATGTGGAGTTAAACTGGTCATGCCAAAGGCTTTCAATCTGGGGTTTGGATTTTGATAAATGCATATTTCGCATTATCCCGTTCCAGCTTCTAGCCCGTGTTATTCGACAATCGTCCCTGTCGGCTGGCCTTATGGTGGACTCGATCAACACTGGGTACCTATATATTGAGTCTTCCTATACAGCGGGGTAGGCCGATTCAGGAATCTCCTAGTCGTTTGTTCCTGACGGTGCCAAGGGTAATAACGTACCATATAAGGTTGTAGCCTTGATGGCTTTCTCTGGGTACCTATCGGCAGCAAAATCATCTCTTGGCAGGATGGATCTTATGAGATCTATCCACAAACATTCGTGGTAAGCGTGGAGCGGCTTTGATTCTATTGGGCAGTGTGTGTGAAACTGGAAAGGCGCAAACCGACACGCTAACTCGATGGTAAGGACAGCTCAAAATCGAAACAAAGTTCGAACCCAAGTTCTATATCCCTGTGTGCGTGGTGCACACTACCAGCCAATACTTAAAGTTTGGGCAACAAAGTTTAAGTAATTAAAATCTCCCAATGGATTTGATACTCGGGTGGCGAAGTTGTTTGCGTTGTTAATCTACGTTAAATCTACCGACATCCTTTAGCGCCACTATGATGCCACAATTGAGTTTCTTGCGACCCTAGGCTTGCCCAAGTATACCAATTATATAAAGTCTTTTTTTTTCTGCAACCAAGGCTGGCAAGTGATATCTAAAGCCAAACGGGGAACTTGTCTTGGCAATTGAGTTCTGGCCAGTCAGCCAGACGGTCACTGAATTGGGCTACCCCATGTCGTAACATGAAATCTTTTCCTGGCAATGATGCATGCGATGAGCCTCATTACAGTTTGAATATCCCACTCGAATGAGTAATTTCTATACATCAGTTTCCTAGGATTCAAGTCATGCGAACTTTATCTAGCGCGCTCGTGAAACCGTATCATCAAATCTGGCTTGTCCCAAATGAACCACGAACGTTGAACATTCCAGTTTTTCGACGCAGTGGTCAATTCCAAATCAAAATTCCATAGTAACAGTCCAATGAAGAGACGCATCTCTGCCCATGCAAGGCTGATCATTCAAGTCAGATGTACTGGTGATACATCGATGGGCAGAGCTGGAACTTACTTGCGGCCCAGGCAATTTCGGGCACCGTGAGAGAACGGCTGGAAAATTTCATGCTGGTGATTTTTAAGATAGCCTTTCTCTAGCCATCGCTCCGGGTCGAACTTGTCAGGATTTTTGAAGTTGTTAACATCACGGTATGTGGCGTAATGGTTGATGGCAACGCTCACATTGCCAGGTACAAACCTGCCGTCAACTGCATATCAAATCAGCCACACATCTCCACGGTTTGTAACCCATCCCACCTACTTGGAAACCCCTGTGGAGGGGTAACACGAGGTGTGGCTCCTGCTACAGGTGGATATACGCGCAGGGTCTCTCGTAACACTGCAGTTAGATATGGTAGTCTGCTGAGGCTCTTGGAGTCGATGAGGGACTCCTCTTCAAACTCTTCCCGCACGAGACTCGTCAATTTGGTCAAGATAGCTGGATGTTTGGTCAAATAGAACAGACTGCCTGCAAGCAAGGATGCTGTGGTCTCTGATCCAACGTCCAGAAGTAGGGCAACGTTGGCGGTAATCTCAGAAACCGTAAGCTCCCTACTGGTTTCGTTTGCTTTCATGATGTAAGACATGAAGTCAGGCCTCTCCCAGTTGTTTTTGGCCATCCGTAACGTAGCCTTCTCCACAGCTGCATCAAAGGCCTTGCGACGTGCTTGACCAAAGATTGACATTAGCAGACGCATCATTTGATTCCTGAAGGGCATGAAACGCAGAACTTCGATTACTGTGACTCCTTCCTTGATACCCTCGAACATTAGGTGTGCTTGTGGACTCCAATCATTGCACTCCAGCGTGTCAGCGCTGATACCGAGTGCAAGGTCAGATATGACATCGTAGGTGCAATGGTGTAACCAGCGTACGGCATCGGTAGGTGACCCAGATAAGCTACTTATGCGATGCACCATACGATCTGCATGATGTCTGAGCACGTCTTCTTGAGAATATAGGGCCTTCTCAGAGAATGCATGTGCCAGGACACCACGAATCCGAACGTGGTCGCCGTCGGAGCTCGCTCCGAGATTTTTCTCTCCGTTAGGAGCTATGGCTCCCATGTAAAAGAAAGGTTCCTTTTGGAGTCGGTCCCAAGGGCGTCGTTTGGATTTGAGACCATAAATGTCATCCCAAGAAGTTCCTCCGGTGAAGCTGACTATGAAAGAGCGCATCAGTTTCGGTTTCCGCCTAATTCTGAAGAAGTACCTACGCTCATTCGGAGCGATCCGTACTATGCTTCCGTAAGTGTCATGAAGTTCTCTGGTCTTTAGCTCCAGTTGACCCGCACTTCGATAGTAAGAATAATAAACACGGGTGACTCTTGCCAGTAGAGGGCCGGGAAACTTCCTAAGGGGATGCAGCAATACGTTGTACACAACATGCCCTATTATAAAGATGACCACCTGCCAGTATTTTATTTAGCCTACACTCACTCCGGGAAAGGGGCACTTTGACACACTACAGCCGCAACCGTGGGCCCAAGATGATGGTACAACGTGAACGAAGTCATATCGAAGATGTATGGAGAGTCATGCATCACATAGAGAGCAATGTGGCCCGGAAATTCATCCCTGTGCTGTGTGGTGGTGCCGAGAGAACAGATGAGGTGTTTTATTCGATTGTATGGTCTGTACGTAGTCTTTGGACGTGCATAGTTAGACCGGCTGGGCGATACTACTATTCCATGGGCCGGTTCGGCTCGAATTAGAGTTCAGCTTTGGAGCTCCAGTTTGAGCAATGGGGATTGGTTCATTCGACGGCAGTTTCGGTAATCGAGGACAGCCAAGGGAAATAAGTTTCGAAGCACATCCTGGTTGAGATCGGCAAGTGATGTGACGGTAAGACAACTTAGATGCATCTATCCCTAGACTCCATATCGCTAATCGGGAACTTGAACTCGCTTGTGACATGGCACCACCTGTTTTACGGCAATTTTCGTCACGGATTCTCCCCCGAGGACCTAGAGCCATAAATTGTAACAGCTTACCAAGGAATTCCGGACCTACGAGGAGAGGCATAAGAAGAAATCTACACCAAACCTTGGCAGACATTTCAACAAAGAGTCATGACCACTTGGAATATAGGACTTCTCTCCGCATTTCCGAAATTGGTAGATCATCTATTCGCTCACTTCTTTGCCTTTCTTATCTACCTGTTTCTACAGTACCACGTAACTCCTCAGAACTATGACATTCCTCTACTCGACCGTTGTTGACCCGACCAAGTATGAGACCGAGGGCCTTTGTGATGGAATTGAGGTACGCCAGAGCAATTTCACCCACCAGGAGGACAGAGGCGCTATCCGAGCCCATCAGGACTGGAACAAGTATGTCGGTCCTTGCCGCCAGTATCGTGGAACTCTCGGGCCCACCTTCAGCTTCATGTCCTTGACCGTTCCCGAATGTCTCCCGGATAGATTGGAAGTGATATCTTATGCAAACGAGTTTGCGTTTCTTCATGATGGTAAGAGCATCCCTGTAATCCGCAGCCACAATCAGCCGTCAGCTCTGACACTGGAGGCAGACATTACGGACAGTGTAGAGTTTGAGGAGGTAAGCAAATACCAAAGTGCCAGGGAATCTGAGTGATTCGAGCATATAATAAATGGTGTGTTCCACACGTAGGGCGAGATTGAGAACGACGAGATGCAGGACGCATTCCTTGAAGCTGCACGCATGGGATCCGTTGACACCGCAACTCAAGAAGCCCGGCGGAAAGGAAAGCGACAAATCCAATCCCAACTCTTTGAAGAAATGCTGTCAATTGATCCTGAATGCGCTAAAATCACCATGAAGTCATGGGCCCAATTCATTCAAGTTGGATCCAGTCGACAACATGAGACTCGGTTCAATACTTTGACCGAGTATTTCCCCTATCGCATTATGGATGTGGGTGAAATGTAAGTAGCGAGATTGCCTCCTTCTCAGAGATGGCCTAATGAAGCGACAGGTTTTGGTACGGAGTTGTCACGTTTGGGTTGGGTTTGCGCATTCCCGACCACGAACTGGACCTCTGTCGTAGCTTAATGGCGCCTGCATGGACCGCTGTGGGTCTACAGAATGACTTGTGGTCCTGGCCCAAAGAGAGAGATGCGGCACAGTTACGTGGAAAGGATCATGTCATTAATGCCATCTGGGTTATCATGCAAGAACAGCAGGTTCAAGTGCACGAGGCAATGCAGATCTGTCGCCAGCTCATCAAGGACTACGTCTCGAGATATCTCCAGACCATGGAGGAAATCAAGGTCAACACATCGATATCTTCCGACCTACGGAAATACCTCCAAGCTATGCTCTACAGTATTTCTGGAAATGTTGTCTGGAGCCTCACTTGTCCGAGATATAACCCAGACGTGGAGTTCAACCAAACCCAACTTGACTGGATGTTTAACGGCGTGCCGCTCAACACCTCGCCTTCGATCAGATCATCCCCTATGCACTCTGATTATTCTCTCGCGTCTACTATCTCCGATCCAGTCGTGAGCACTAGTAGTGGTACGACGCCTGGATTGTTATCCTTTGAAAGCCTAATTGTCACAGATTCGCAGAGAACAGCCAAAGGCAACCAGACAGAAGATGCTGCATCGCTTCGCTTCGAGGTACCGACAAACTTCCCCC